CAACAGTTTAGAAGCATACGATATAAGATACACAACATATCCCTCCAAATTGCCAATATATGTTATTAAATACCACTGCCTCAACCGCTGAATTATTGTGAAATGTTTGGAAGAGCAGGGAGACTAATGTTCACTCCAGCATAAACAAAGTCACACTGACGATGTGTCAACCACTCTCTCGTATTTTTGTACAATTTCCTTCTTCAATTATACGTATTTATTATTATTATTATTATTATTATTATTACTATTGTTATTATTAGCAACAGCAGAAATGTTCGATTCTTTGCTGTGTTCAAGAGTAAACACATGATGTCACCATCTAATACCTTTCCCAATAGCCATTCCAATATGCAGTCATGAATGGGTTTACATTACAGTGGACCCCCGCATACCGTACGCATCGCATAACTTTCAATCCGCATACCGCTCGCTTTTATCGCAAAAATTTTGCCTCGCATACCGCTCAAAAACCCGCTCACCGCTCTTCGTCCGAGACGCGTCCAATGTGCGCCCTTAGCCAGCCTCACATGTGCCGCCGGTGGCATTGTTTACCAGCCAGCCTCCGCGGTAACATCCAAGCATACAATCGGAACATTTCGTATTATTACAGTGTTTTTGGTGATTTTATCTGGAAAATAAGTGACCATGGGCCCCAAGAAAGCTTCTAGTGCCAACCCTACAGCAATAAGGGTGAGAATTACCATAGAGATGAAGAAAAAGATCATTGATAAGTATGAAAGTGGAGTGCGTGTCTCCGAGCTGGCCAGGTTGTATAATAAACCCCAATCAACCATCGCTACTATTGGTGGCACAGCTGCTGCTGCTGCTGTACCGTCAGCTGCTGCTGTACCGTCAGCTGCTGCTGTACTGTCAGCTGCTGCTGCTGCTGCTGCTGCTGCTGCACTGTCAGCTGCTGCTGCTGCTGTAGCACCGTCAGCTGCTGCTGTACCACCGTCAGCTGCTGCTGCTGCTGTAGTACCATCTGCTGCTGCTGCTGTAGTACCATCTGCTGCTGCTGCTGTAGTACCATCTGCTGCTGCTGCTGTAGTACCATCTGCTGCTGCTGTAGCATCGTCTGCTGCTGCTGTAGCACTGTCAGCTGCTGCTGCTGTTGTACCACCGTCAGCTGCTTCTGCTGCTGTAGTACCGTCTGCTGCTGCTGTAGCATCGTCTGTTGCTGCTGTAGCATCGTCTGCTGCTGCTGTAGCACTGTCAGCTGCTGCTGCTGTTGTACCACCGTCAGCTGCTGCTGCTGCTGTAGTACAGTCTGCTGCTGCTGTAGCATCGTCTGCTGCTGCTGTAGCATCGTCTGCTGCTGCTGTAGCACTGTCAGCTGCTGCTGCTGCTGTTGTACCACCGTCAGCTGCTGCTGCTGCTGCTGTAGTACCGTCTGCTGCTGCTGTAGTACCGTCTGCTGCTGCTGTAGTACCATCTGCTGCTGCTGTAGCATCGTCTGCTGCTGCTGTAGCACTGTCAGCTGCTGCTGCTGTAGCACCGTTGTTGGTGTGGCTTATTGAGAATACCAAGAAACAATTAACCCCAGAGGATTTGCCACCCAGGATAACCCAAAAAAGTCAGTGTCATCGAAGACTGTCTAACTTATTTCCAATGGGGTCCTTAATCTTGTCTCCCAGGATGCAACCCACACCAGTCGACTAACACCCAGGTGAACAGGGAAAAATGCCTGGAACTAGTGCTCATATTGGTGAATTTAAAGCCAGCAAAGGTTGGTTTGAGAGATTTAAGAATCGTAGTGGCATACACAGTGTGATAAGGACTGTTCTGGAAGAAAATGCCAAACAGGGCCTACAGTACTCAGGAGGAAAAGGCACTCCCAGGACACAGTGTCTCATCAGTCATTGCTGCATCTTCAATAAAGGTAAGTGTCATTTATTCTTCATTTAGTAGAGTAGTACATACACAATATATATTGTGCATGTACTACTCTACTATTGTGCATGTATCCTTCTCTTTGTGTGTAGGAAAATGTATATTTCATGTGGTAAAAATTTTTTTTTCATACTTTTGGGTGTCTTGCACGGATTAATTTGATTTCCATTATTTCTTATGGGGAAAATTCATTCGCATACCGATCATTTCACATAACAATCAGCCCTCTTGCACGGATTAAAGTCGCTATGCGGGGGTCCACTGTATTTATTCTGTAGTTTAATAGCAAATAATGAACAAACAAAACACTCACCACACTGAGTGGTGGGAGGGCTGGCTGCCGGTGGGAGGTTAGTAGGGACTCCCAGTGGTGGAGTCTGTGGTATTTAATAACATACATGTTATTAAATAACATACGTTATTAAAGCATAACATGTATATATTTAGTATAATTTACGACGTTTGCATGTATTTTATGATTATTCATGGTTCAACAAGTTAAGGAAGCAGTATTGTAATATATTTCCCTACAATATATTGGGGCACCAAACATTCACGTTTTTTCAACATTCGCGAGGCTCTTGATCCCCTAACCCTCGCGAATGTTGAGGGAGACCTGTAGTTCAATTTAGCTTGTGATTTCCATGCATTTCAGAAAAAAAAGATAGGGGTGTGTATAATGGTGAATGTACTTTTCTTTTAGGATCACTCTATCTTGGTCTATAAACACTGGTGTAAAAGCTAAAAAATCATATACAGGTGGCCCTCCACATTCGCGAGGGTTAGGGGATCAAGAACCTCGTGAATGTAGGAATGGTTTCAAAGAACCACATGTTTTTTAAAATTAACACATGTCAACTTTTGGGTATTTTTATTGGGGAAAACATTTCCCCACTAGGGCTTCATAGTCCATACAAAGATAAACTTGAAGAACAGGAGGTGAATGAGGAATCAGCCCTAAACCTTTGAGTCGAGTGGTCAGTCCCAATCTTGAATAGAAACGGCATATAAGCGGAGAAGCATTATAAACCGATGGCGGGGAGAGGTCAGCATCGTGGGTGGTGTCCTTTTCCAATTGGAAGTGGGTCATGCCCAAGGGTTAGGCAAGGAAAAATTTCCAAGTTTTAAGATCCATGAAGTTGCATTTGTTGACGGTTTGTAGATGAATGGTTCAAAAAACCGCATGTTTTAAATTAGACACAGGGCAACTTTTGGGGGTATTTTTACAAAGGGAAAAGTTTCCCCACCAGGGGCTTACACCCATACAAAGGATAAACTTAAGAACAGGGGAGAATGAGGAAATTTCAGCCCCCCAAACCTTGAGTCGATGGGTCAGCCATCAACCCTAACCCTTTTGGGGCAAAACCCTACTTCCACATTGGGAAAATGTGACATCACCTACGACTGCTGCCCCTCTCCTGCCATACGGTTTTTTAAACTGCTTCTTCCCGTCATATGCTTTTTCTTTCAAGATTGATGGACGTATTTAGTTTCAGTATTTATCATTTTTTTTAAACTGAGATAACCCTTTAATCTTTTCTCTGACTTTAGCTTTCAAAGGCTGAATGAATCACTGAAATTCAAAGGCTTTCGATTTACTGTCGATGTCAAAAATGCTAAATACCGAATGCTCTTAAGTTTGGTGAATTGAAGGACACTTAGCTTTTTTTCCTATCAGCGGAATGACATAATTACTTCTTTACTCAGTACATAGTACGGAAAGGAAGAAAGACATAGGGATAAAAACTTAATTAAAAAACTAGAAGCCCACCTCCCAAAAAAATTTCATCAATGTGAAAGGGAATGTACACTCTAAGTAAATTTTCAAATTAGAAAAGCCCAGTGAAGAGATACCCCTCATGACACTCACCCAGACTCATGGGTTTTTCATTTTTGCCAATGGTTTCCTGGGATGTGTGCAATTCCCGGCTTCCCCACTGTACAAAATCCTTGTTTTGTGTCTGCTCGTCCTGTCTGTAAAATAATTTAACAATTAGTGCCAAAGCCAACATTAAAAAAGAACATTCTGTTTAAGTAATTCCCAAAACTTACGCAAAGTTGGTGTCAGGCCGGGACAGTGCCTAATGCACTTTAAGGGGTGGGCAAAAAACCAAATTTATTAAATGAAGAAAAAAAAAAACTTTGACCCCAGGAAACCCTCATTTAAAAAAGTTTTCATTTATTTTATTTTGTACATTTGGCGTAATGTCCCCCAATGAAATCCAACTATAAAGGTAAAATTTTAAATAAATAATTTTTTTTTTATTAACATATTGGCCTTTCCCCCAAAGGCAGGAGGGCCCTGAAAAAGAAAAACTTTCAAAATTTCACTATCACGTCCTGCCAGAGGCTGCTTACACTACTTATAAAACTGCAACTTAACCCCCCTCCTTCAATCCCGGCCCACTGTATTTCCATCTCCGGGAAATCAAGTGGGGCCTCCCGGTTTCCCTGAATCCCTGAATCCAACAGCATGTCAAGTCCAAAAAATCATTTGTCCCCACCCCCCCTCCTAATCTCCCAAAACTAGGGATTCTCTGCATTATATTCACACCCCATTTTGCCCTCAGACAGGAATCTCCACTGCCCCCCTCCCCTTCTTGCAGCATTCACAACCCATCCCCTCACACCCTTTTGTCAGAAGCCTTGATCTGAAATTTCTCTAAGGGTCAGAGAATTTAAAAAAAAAAAAAAACTTATCGCGAAACTTTTCCTGAAAGGGAATAAACCAAAAATGTGAAATTTAATGGGAAAACCCACAAAAATACACTCTTGCAAAGTTTTGGCCTCGGGTTATTTACACATAGCAGTTTTCACCCACTTTGAGCCCATTTTTGGCAAATTCCCTTGTTTCAGTCAACCAAACTATAATATTTTACTGTATTCATTCTAATTTTTAACAACTGAGTATAAGAAACGCCCATTTACCCCATTTCAACCCCCCAATAAAAGGTCAAAATTGGTAATTCGGCCCAATTCACACAAAAATTAAAAAAATGCTAATTTAAAAAAAAAGGCCAGAAAAACAATGCAGACATTCCCGCACAAAAAATTTTTCTTTCATCAGATATTCCCCTGGCCTCTTCTAATTTCACTTGTTTTCCATTTTTAATTTTTATTCACACAAAAAAAAAAAAAAAGTTTACCGTTATGAGACTACTGCATTATTTAATAATTGTATAAAAATGTTAGCTCACTTGGAGCATTTTTAGACCAACAATTGGACTGTATTGACAGTGACGTAATTTGTGTACTCTAGAATATTGGAAAAAATTGAACATTACCACTACTCTGAGCTCAATTTCAAGTTACTCTCTGTCCTGAAATCAATCAAAATTATCTCTATTTCTGTAATATATCCTCCACTCTATCAAATGAGATCAAGAAACCAAGAATATAACCATAAAAACCATACGAAAATACCCTGCAAAACTCATATTTTTAAGCAAAAAACACGATTGCAGTTTTTTTCTAATTGTGCACTGCATGCTGCAGGATTTTTTATATGGTGCATACTTACCACATAGACCCATTCTCTCATATCTAGGCCCAAATTACTGCTCACAGCTTATCTGAGAGAGCAGAGCTCATCACATAAAACAAAGGGACCAACCCGGGTTTCAAAGCCATAGTACAATGGGACCCACCCCGATAGGGTTAAAATGAAATACAGTGGTACCTCGGGATATGAACTTAATTCATTCGAGAAGGCTGTTCGAGTGCCAATACCGAACGAATTTGTTCCCATAAGGAATAATGTAAATTAGATTAATCCGTTTCAGACCCCCAAAAATATACTTACAAAAGCACTCACATAGATACACTTACATAACTGTTCGAGTTTTGAGCTGTTCCTCATGCAGGCATGCGTGAGCGTGTTTTATAGGAGTGAATGGAGACAAATGGTTTTTAATACTTGACGTGCTGTTGGAGTGTGAGCAAAGTAACGTTTGTGAAGGGGTTCAGGGAAACCGGCAGGCCGGACTTGAGTCCTGGAGATGGAAAGTACAGTGCCTGCACTCTGAAGGAGGGGTGTTAATGTTGCGGTTTAAAAACTGTAGTGTAAAGCACCCGTCTGGCAAGACAGTGATGGAGTGAATGATGGTGAAAGTTTTTCTTTTTTCGGGCCACCCTGCCTTGGTGGGAATCGGCCAGTGTGATAATAAAAAAAAAATAAAAAAAAAAAAGTGTATAATTCAGAGGGCTGATGAGAGGTTGTTGAAGTGGTTTGGGCATGTAGAGAAGATGGATAGAGGTAGGTTGATGAAGAGGGTGTATGAATCTGGGGTGGAAAGTAAGAGGGTTAGATATCATCACAGGAACCATTGGAGAGAGGGAGGTAAAAAGGGGTTTTGAGTTTTAGTGGTCTTAGCATCCAGCAGGCATGTGTGAGTGTTTTAGATAGGAGTGAATGGAGATTTAAGTTTTTTTGTAATGGACATGCTGTTGGAATTTGAGCAAGGTAACTTTCATGAAGGGATTCAAGGAAACCGGTTAGCCAGATCTGAGTCCTGGAGATTGAGAGGGCAGTGCCTGCAATCTGAAGGAATAAGCAAGGTATCATTTAAGAAGGAATTCATGAGAAACTGATTATCTGGACTTAATTTCAGGTGGGAAGGGCAGTGCTCGCACTCTAGAGGAGGGGTGAGGATGTTAAGTTCAGAGCATCATCTGGCAAGACAGCAGCTGAATGAGTGATGGTGAATGTGTTTCATTTTCTGGGTCACCCTACCTTTGTGGAAGACAGCTGAGGTAAAAAATACAATAATAATGAAAAAGGGACACCACAAGCATGGCTCTGCTCCTGTAGCTACAAACAGTTAATTTCTTATGGTACTTTGTTCAACCAGGACTGCCCATACTCTACATGAAACAACTTGAGTAGCTCTCAAAGTTCTCAAGGAACAAAATGTCAATGCTAGTTTTGATTTGTTAATTAAGAAAAGTTGATAAGTAAAAAAGAAAAGCTAATTGTTCTCCTGATGCAAAATGTGCAACCCTCAAGTTCTAATAAATAATTTGAATGTGTACCTTCCACAGCCAAAATCCTCTTCAAGTTCTCTTGAAGTTTCAGATTCAATGATATAGCTATTTGTTGCTCTAGACAGCTGTTCACCATCAGCATTAGCATCTTCCTGGATCCTTTCTAGACTGTTAGTTGATGGTTTGCAATGAGTGATTTGTACTTGAGGTGTAGTGGCAGCCAGTGGAGTGCTCTGGGTAGTAAGACAATCAAGATTACTAGCCTTGGCAGACTGACACTTAGTGAAAGGTGAAGCTGATGCAGCAGGTTCAGATTGATGCAAGGTGACCATGGCTGGATCAGTATGTGCAGTTGGAGAAGTATCAACACCCCTTGGGGACTCCGAGATGAGAAGACGCCCAGGACTCGCACTTGACAATGAACTGACACTGCGTTCACTCAAGTTTCCTGCACGTGAACATTTCAAAGTTAATAAAATACATAATACTAACTTAAAATTCTATAAATGTACTTTACCTTCATTACTTACACAGTATATGCTTTTGAGCTAGACATTAAATACAGTACATAATACTGTAGCTCAACACTACTGTTTTCACAAGCAATATTATTACAGTACATAGTTATCTAAAAGAGAAAAAGGTAGCTTATGAGAGGTTTTTACAAAGCAGAAGTGTTATAAGAAGAGCAGAGTATATGGAGAGTAAAAGAAAGGTAAAGAGAGTGGTGAGAGAGTGGAAAAGGAGAGCAGATGATAGAGTGGGAGAGGCACTGTCAAGAAATTTTAATGAAAATAAGAAAAAATTTTGGAGTGAGTTAAACAAGTTAAGAAAGCCTAGGGAAAGTATGGATTTGTCAGTTAAAAACAGAGTAGGGGAGTTAGTAGATGGGGAGATGGAGGTATTAGGTAGATGGCGAGAATATTTTGAGGAACTTTTAAATGTTAAGGAAGAAAGAGAGGTAGTAATTTCATGCACTGGTCAGGGAGGTATACCATCTTTTAGGAGTGAAGAAGAGCAGAATGTAAGTGTGGGGGAGGTACGTTAGGCATTACGTAGAATGAAAGGGGGTAAAGCAGCTGGAACTGATGGGATCATAAAAGAAATGTTAAAAGCAGGGGGGGATATAGTGTTGGAGTGGTTAGTACTTTTGTTTAATAAATGTATGAAAGAGGGGAAGGTACCTAGGGACTGGCAGAAAGCATGTGTAGTCCCTTTATATAAAGGGAAAGGGGATAAAAGAGACTGTAAAAATTATAGAGGAATAAGTTTACTGAGTATACCAGGAAAAGTGTACGGTAGGGTTATAATTGAAAGAATTAGAGGTAAGACAGAATGTAGGATTGCAGATGAGCAAGGAGGTTTCAGAGTGGGTAGGGGATGTGTAGATCAAGTGTTTACATTGAAGCATATATGTGAACAGTATTTAGATAAAGGTAGGGAAGTTTTTATTGCATTTATAGATTTAGAAAAGGCATATGATAGAGTGGATAGAGGAGCAATGTGGCAGATGTTGCAAGTATATGGAATAGGTGGTAAGTTATTAAATGCTGTAAAGAGTTTTTATGAGGATAGTGAGGCTCAGGTTAGGGTGTGTAGAAGAGAGGGAGACTATTTCCCGGTAAAAGTAGGTCTTAGACAGGGATGTCAAATGTCACCATGGTTGTTTAATATACTTATAGATGGGGTTGTAAAGGAAGTAAATGCTAGGGTGTTCGGGGAAAAGGGGTGGGATTAAATTTTGGGAATCAAATTCAATATGGGAATTGACACAGTTACTTTTTGCTGATGATTATGTGCTTATGGAGATTCTAAAGAAAAATTGCAAAGGTAGTGGATGAGTTTGGGATGTGTGTAAAGGTTAGAAAGTTGAAAGTGAACATAGAAGAGTAGTAAGGTGATGAGGGTATCAAATGATTTAGATAAAGAAAAATTGGGATATCAAATGGGGAGGAGTATGGAATGGTGAATGTTTTCAGATACTTGGGAGTTGAACGTTTCGGACGGATGGATTTATGAAGGATGAGGTTAATCATAGAATTGATGAGGGAAAAAGGTGAGTGGCGCGTTGAGGTATATGTGGAGTCAAAAATCGTTATCTATGGAGGCAAAGAAAGGAATGGTAAATGGAAAGTATAGTAGTACCAACTCTTATATGGGTGTGAGTTGGGTGGATATGCAGCAAGCGAGGAGGACGGTTGGAGCGTGGAGATGTCCTGTCTAGGGCAATGTGTGGTGTAAATATTATGCAGAAAATTGAAGTTTGGAAATTAGAAAAAGGTGTGGAGTTAATAAAAGTATTAGTCAGAGGGCAGAAGAGGGGTTGTTGAGGTGGTTTGGTCATTTAGAGAGAATGGAGTCAAATAGAATGACATGGAAAAGCATATAAATCTATGGGGAAGGAAGGTGGGGTAGGGTTCGACCTCGAAAGGTTTGGAGGAGAAGGGGGTAAAGGAGGTTTTGTGGCAAGGGGATTGGACTTCAGCAAGCGTGCGTGGAGCGTGTTAGATTAGGAGTGAAGTGGAGGACGAAGGTACTTGGGACTGACGATATGTTGGAAGGGGCTTGGACTTCCAGCAAGCGTGCGTGAGCGTGTTAGATAGGAGTGAATGGAGACGAATGGTACTTGGGACCTGACGATCTGTTGGAGTGTGAGCAGGGTAATATTTAGTGAAGGGATTCAGGGAAACCGGTTATTTTCATATAGTCGGACTTGAGTCCTGGAAATGGGAAGTACAATGCCTGCACTTTCAAGGAGGGGTTTGGGATATTGGCAGTTTGGAGGGATATGTTGTGTATCTTTATATGTGTATGCTTCTAAACTGTTGTATTCTGAGCACCTCTGCAAAAACAGTGATAATGTGTGAGTGTGGTGAAAGTGTTGAATGATGATGAAAGTATTTTCTTTTTGGGGATTTTCTTTCTTTTTTGGGTCACCCTGCCTCGGTGGGAGACGGCCACCTTGTTGAAAAAAAAAAAAAAAAGTTATCTACATGTACTTAGCTGACCTGCTGCTGAATCCATACCAAACAAAATTTTTATGGGCATCATTTTGCATCAAAATTTAGTATCTTAAAATAAACAAAATTAGGATTAAAGAAAAAATAAAACTAGCTATAATCTTAAAAACAACAACCTTCCATTCCCCTAAAAGAGATATGGAATTATGTTAAGCTTAGAGTAAAAGTAGTATCAGATGTAAGAAAATAACCTTCATAAACATTTTTACTCATTTAAAAAATTTATTTCAGAGCAATTTTAGATGAGTAATTCTTAAATGTTTTTTTCGTTAATTATTATTTGTATGAGTAACTCATCAAGGATTCATTAATTACCTAATATGGTGTCCCTCCCTGAACCTAATAGTAGTCCTCAACTAATCAGAAGATAAAGTGACAATACTCGCTCATTAAAGAAAGTTCCTCCACAGATTTTGTTTAACTTGGTCTAGTCAAATTACTTAATACCTACCAGTTATTCAAAAAGAACTTCTAAATAATTTAACCCTTTCAAGGTCCGTACCATAGATCTACGGCTTTACGTTGAGGGTCCAAACCGTAGATCTACGCCATGAGCTCAGCTCACTCTGATAAGCTGTGAGCGGTAAATTTTGGCCTAAATATGAGAGAATACATCTATGTGGTATGGGTGCACCACATAAAACAAATCCTGCAGCACACAGTGCATAATGAGAGAAAAAACTGAGACCGTAATTTCCAATTAAAACAGCAACTTTGCAGTGTATTTTCATACGTTTTTTATAGTTGTATTTGTGATTTCTTATTCTCATTTTATAGAATGGAAGATATATTACAGAAATAGAGATGATTTTGATTTGTTTTAGTGCTGAAAATGGCTTGAAACTGAGCTCAAAGTAGCAGAAATGTTAAATTTTTGGCGATGTTCAAGAGTAAATAAATGACCTTACACATATAATACACGCCAGCTGGTGGGTCTAATATACGTTCACAAATGTGCTGATATTATTTATACAGTTACATGTATTACAATATTGCTTGACAGTAAATCTATTTTTTTGTTTGAATAAAAATTCATTATGTGAATTAAAAATCAAAATGGAATTTATTTGTAAAGCCTGAAAGAATAACTAATGAACAGAGGAAATGTTAGTTTAGTGCCAGGAATGCCTGCATTGTTTATTCTGGACCCTATTTTGAAATTGGAATACATGTATTTTGAACTTTGCATTAAATTGGCAAAATTACCAATTTCCAATCACTTTATTTTGTAGTTGAAATAGTTGAGTTGGCGATTTCTTGTGCTCAATCGATAGAATAGAAGTGATACTAGTGAAACAGCTAAGAATTTGGTCGACTAGAATAAGGTAATTGGCCTAAAGTGGGAGTCAAAGTCGGCAAAATCACTGATGCGTAAATATCGCTGAAACATCAAAATTCGTGAGAGCACAAATTCGTCAATTTTCCATCAAATTTCATACTTTTTGTTTTATTACCTTCAGAAAAAGATTCTCTACCATTTCATAAGAAAAAAAAAAGCAAAATTATTTTTTGAAAATTCATGGACACTGGTGCACACTTTGATAAACCCTGAAAGGGTTAAAAAATTTTCAACCATTTGATATGACTCACATAATCGTAATGACATGATTCCAAACAAACCATACCATGGGCAGGGATAGAACCCGCGATCAAAGTCATAAAACTCCAGATCGACACGCTAGCCACTGGGCCAGCTGGCTACACGAAAATTCGTCCAACTAAGTATATTTATACATCATAGGAAGGTTAGCATAGACACCACTGTGATCACAAGTGCAAATTTTTACAGACAAATCTCCCACCAGCATGGCTGTGGCTAGCTCTAGCTCAAGTCCCCTCAAAGCCGTCATCATGCGGGCTCTCCCCCCGCCTGTGGTATGGTTTGTTTGCAATTGTGTCATTAATATTTGCTGAGTCACAATGACAGCTCTGAGGGGACTTTAGCTAGAGCTACTCAAGACCATACTGGCAGGAGATTCATCTGTAAAAAACTTGCATTTGTGGTTACAGTGGTGCCTATGCTAACCTTCCTATGGTGTATAAATATATTAGTTGGACGAATCTTATTGTAGCCAGCTGGCCCAGTGGCTAGCGCGTCGGCCTGGAGTTTTATGACTCTCTGATCGCGGGTTCTATCCAGCCCATGGTATGGTTTTCTTCAACTATTTGATAATTTACCTCAAACTTAAAATTGTTTCAATTTCATTATTGTATACTGCTGATGATTGTTCAACCATATACATGTACTCATATCTTCAAACATATAAGTGTTTCAATCTCATTGTTTTAAAATGTACTAAATTGTAATACTTCACGTGTAAATTGTTTTAACCCTTAAATTGTCCAAACGTAGGTCTACGTTCACATGCGTAGCTCTCCGACCTTGATTTTCCTCATTTGAAAGCATGTAAAAAAAAAAAAAACGTAGATCTACATTCAGAGCCTGCCGCACGTCAACGTAGATCTACGTTCGGAGCCTGCCGCACGTCAACATATATCTACATTTGGACAGTTTAAGGGTTAATGTTCTAAATTGTAATACTGTACTTTCTATAAACTACATCAAAACTGTACTTATTCTACACTGAATTGCTCTACTAGACTTATTAAAGTCATATAGCATTAACTAACAGATTACTCCATTCTCTTGTACTCATTGTAACTCATCTAATGAGCACATGAACTGTTATTGCCTTATTAGTGGTAAGTGCCATAACCACTGGAAACTTTAAAAACATTATAAAATACTAAATACAAGATAGGATACCACAAGCTTTAGCCCTCCTCCTGCAGTTGCAAACTGTAAGGTAATTACAAACAGCTCTACTGAATACAATACTTACATCATTGTAACCAAACTGAGAAAATATAAATAAAAAATAGTATTTTTTTATGACAGTCTTGACTGGATAACAGCTCTTTTCCACTCTGACTTGAGAGAAAATTACACACCTGAGCCTAAGAGTACCTCACGCCTCAAGGAGTCAGATTCAGGTCCAGTAACTGTCTCATACAAGTTGAAAATTGCATCCTCCAGCTCACCATGTCTGTTAAAGATAAAAAAAAAATTATTATTGTGTAGAAGTATTAAAAATGAGATTTAAAGATGTCCCCTTATGAAACCTGTCCTCACACAATGCATGAAAACTTTGCGTGCACACACACACACACACACACACACACACACACACTACTAGAGTTTTATGACAAGGTGACAGAAGTAAGACAAGAGAGAGAGGGGTGGATCGACTGCGTATTTTTGGACTGCAAGAAGGCTTTCGACACAGTTCCTCACAAGAGGTTACTGCAAAAGCTAGAGGACCAGGCACACATAACAGGAAAGGCACTGCAATGGATCAGAGAATATCTGACAGGGAGGAAACAACGAGTCATGGTACGCGACGAGGTGTCAGAGTGGGCGCCTGTGACAAGCGGGGTTCCACAGGGGTCAGTCCTAGGACCTGTGCTGTTCTTGGTATACGTGAACGACATAACGGAAGGGATAGACTCAGAAGTGTCCTTGTTTGCAGACGATGTGAAGTTAATGAGAAGAATCGAATCGGACGAGGATCAGGCAGGACTACAAAGAGATCTGGACAGGCTACAAGCCTGGTCCAGCAACTGGCTCCTAGAATTTAACCCTGCCAAATGCAAAGTCATGAAGATTGGGGAAGGGCAAAGAAGACCGCAGACACAATATAGTTTAGATGGCCAAAGACTGCAAACCTCACTAAAGGAAAAAGATCTGGGGTGAGTATAACACCGAGCATATCTCCTGAGGCGCACATCAATCAGATAACTGCTGCAGCATACGGGCGCCTGGCAAACCTACGGATAGCGTTCCGATACCTCAGTAAGGATTCGTTTAAGACTCTGTACACCATCTACGTCAGGCCCATACTGGAGTATGCAGCACCAGTTTGGAATCCACACCTAGTCAAGCACGTCAAGAAATTAGAGAAAGTGCAAAGGTTTGCAACAAGACTAGTCCCAGAGCTACGGGATTGTCCCCATGAAGAAAGGTGAGGGAAATCGGCCTGACGACACTGGAGGGCCCGGAGGGTCAGGGGAACATGATAACGACATATAAAATACTGCGCGGAATAGACGAGGTGGACAAAGACGGGATGTTCCAGAGATGGGACACAGACACAAGAGGTCACAATTGGAAGTTGAAGACTCAGATGAATCAAAGGGATGTTAGGAAGTATTTCTTCAGTCATAGAGTAGTCAGGCCATGGAATAGCCTAGAAAGTGATGTGGTGGAGGCAGGAACCATACATAGTTTTAAGGCGAGGTATGATAGAGCTCATGGGGCAGGGAGAGAGAGGACCTAGTAGCAATCAGCGAAGAGGCGGGGCCAGGAGCTGTGACTCGACCCCTGCAACCACAAATAGGTGAGTACACACACACACACAGTGATGTAAAACTGAGAGAATAAAAACAGACAGAGAAAAGAGCCAAATGGATCTGGACAAACTGTAAGTTGTTGCTTGAAGTCAACCCCAGTCCTAGAGACGAGCATTGTGGGTTTTTTTACACAACATACATTCAGCACATCTTAAGAGTATGTAGCACCAGTATGGAATCCAAACCTGAAATAAAGAACATTATGAAACTGGAGTAAGTGCAGGAGTAAGCAAAGAGGACTGTTCCAGAACTAAGACATGATTATGTGGAGAGGCTAATGGAATTAATCTAACAACACTGGAGGACAGAAGAACCAAGGGATTCACGATTACTTACAAAATACTCAGAGGAATTGAAAGGGTAGATTTGAATACTGTTCGAGAGGCAAGAAAGAAGTACAATGGGACCCCCGTATCCACAGGTCCTGTATCCACAGTTTCAGTTATCCACAGTTTGCCATGGCCCAAAAATAACCCTTAATTTTGCTTAATAATGGCCTCAAAGTGCAAAAGTAGTGATGGCAAAGTTCTTCAAGGCCTAAGAGAAGCCATGAAGTGCTTCCCATCAGTGAAAAAGTGATAATTCTATATTTATTGTGCATAATTTATTAATTAAACTTTATAATAATAATAATGTATGTAAACAAAAAATGACATTCATATAGGGTTAGCTCCTAACCACGGTTTAAGTAACTGTGGCAGGTCCTTGGAACGTAGCCCCTGCAGATACGAGGGTCCTACTGTACTTGAAGACGCAGCTGGAATGATCGTAATAAAGAAATGGTGGAGCCATGCTTCACACAGTTTTAAGTGTGGGCATGATAGCGACTATGAGGCTATGAGGGAGTGAATCTGGCAAGTGGCAAGTTGAGAGGTGGGACCAGGAACTGAGACTTGACTCTTGCAACTACAAATAAGTGAGTGCACCCTGCATGTGTGCATGCATGTTTCGTTGTTCATTCATTCAGTCTCTCTCTCTCTCTCACTGAACCACAAGCAACGGCTTATTTTGTGGTTGCCATTTTAAAAAAGGCTGCCATACTTTAACAATGAGCACTTTGCACAAGAATATCCACAAACTGAAATGTTATTAATTGGAGTTAATGTTTGCAAGATCTATACTCCATTATGCAGCTCCACAAGAGCTACATAATGGAGTACTGTAGACTACTTTATAAATACAAACTATAAAAAATTACTTACTGATGGCATGATTCTCTTCCAGTTTTAGCTTCATTCTCTTCTAATTCACAAAACAGACTTCTTCTTTTTCTCTGCAGCCACAATTTTCCTGACTGCCTAGGGTATTTTTCTACCTCTCCTATCTTGATTGGCTGAATTCTTCGTCTCTTCTTATGGGGGCTTTGCTGAGGTTCCATTTTTTCCATTAATTTAGTCATCTCTTCAAAGGAATCCTCTTTCAGTCTTTTCCTATTTGTAAAATGTTTTTCCTTATCACTTGACTCACAGATACCATCATCATAATTAAGCTTTTCATCACCTAAATTAATTACAGCTTGTAAATTTCTACATGATAAGTCTGTCTTTTCATTGTCAATTAACTGAATGTCTCTCTCAGTTTGTGCTGAATTTTTCCTTGCTCCTTCTTCATTCTTTTTTCTACCCACATTTTTCTTTAAATTATTTACTTCATGCTTTTCTCTTGATATTAAATTTTGTTTTACTTTGCCCTTTATTGTGCCTTTACTTTCTATAGTTTTTGAGGTCAATTGTTTCAACATACTTTGTCTTTTTCTAGGTTTATCACTTACTATTTTAGTTCTCTGTTTATCATTTTCTAAATTTAAACTGAACAAATCTATAAAATTTGAATCTTTTAAGGTTAATAAATCTGTCCACTCATCACTATCCTCATTTTCATTTTCAGAAGGGACTTCAATCCTCAAAACATCACTATCTTCCTCCTCTTCTGTCTTATCAAAGTTATTATCAGGTTTTGAAAAACAGTCTTTTCCACTTTTTTGCTTGAAATTAACATTTTTGTCTTGTATATTTTGATTTAAACTATCACCACCATTTTCTCTTAAATTTGTATTACTTGAGCTTTTCAAACACTCTGAAACTGTGTCATTGAACTGGTTAAAATTTTCAATGTCTATGTGCTTTTGTGAGTGCCGTTCCGGTACGTCGTTCTCAAGATATTGATTATGCTCGTGTTGCTGAGCTATTTGCACATGTTGTGGTTCTCTTCTATTCATAATGAGTGCCTCACTGGGTAGTGATACACTACTTCCAGCATCAATGAGTGTTTTCTCACTATTACTCTTACTGTCATATTCTGCATTTAGCTTCTGGCTGTCAGAGCCTAACAGTTTGGCAGGGATGTCATCTGCATTTACAACTTCAATTGATTTCAAGGTAAGAGAGTTATCCTCCAGGTGTTTTAGAATTGAGGTTTCCCCAGGACTATGAAAAATACTTATTCTCTTAACATCTGAATTTACATTTATCATCTTTATGTCCAATGAAGATAATTTTGTACTTTCATCTTCAAAATGCAGAGAATGTGTATTCTTTCGAGATTTGTCTTTATTCATACTCAAAATGGGCTCTGTATCCTCAGCACCTGTGGTAAATACTTCAGTATCACTGTTATGCTGAGGACTAGTGGCACTTTTCACATATTTTGGATGCATAACAATATTTGATGGAAAAGCAACTAATGCTTTCTTTTTCTTAACAATTGAATGGCAAATTTGGCCCATTTTCTTTTCTGGGGTTAAAGGTAAATGCTTATAGGTCATTAAACAGTCTTTCTCTGAAGATTCCCATAAATCACCAGTGCTCTCAACTGACCTGGGTGGTGAATCAGCATTATTACTTTCTTCAGGTGAATTTAGCAGTGTGCTCTGTCTCAGTCTAGTCTCTTCAGCTGCTGCTTTCTGCGACACATTTGCATCTATTTCACAAGTACTGATACTCCTACAAGTCGGATCTGAAATTTCAATCTGTTTCTCTATTTCCAAGAGGCTTTTATTATTTAATAATGATGCTACAGCTGCTGCAGATATTAATGCTACACCTTCACTATCCTGTGCACAAAGAGTTATTATTTCACTTTGGACACCACTTGCATTATCACATCTGACACTACTGTCTGAGTCACCTACATTATCTGTAGCTAATAATACTGTTGGCTTACCATCTTTGACATTATCAGAACTGAGTGGGACATCTGAGGCTGTAACAATTACTCCAGTTTTATCTTTTTGCAAATTCAGTTGATCAGAGATCAAGGGATCAACACTACTAGGTAATTCATTTTTAAATGAATCATCTGAATAGATATCCTTGGCTGTTGGACATGCAAGATCAGGTACATATTCTGAAAATGCAACAGAAATAACATAAAACTCTTCTGCAATAAACATAATATACTTAATTTAATTTATAATTCACTTTAAAATTACATAAATAATCAATAATTTAAAACTAAGACAGGGTATAAATTAATGACACTCTTACCTACAGAATATGATCCAGTACTAGCTATCCTTTGATGCCTAGAGTGCTTCGGTGTAACATTTTGAATCTCGCCAAGCTCTCTCTCAGAATGACGATGAAGGGATACTGCAGAGGCATCCTTTTTGTATATAATAGTGCGAGCACATCCAGAAGATGAACGAACACATAAATTATTATCCTTAACAACCCTGGTGTGGAAGATGACTTGTTCAGGTGTGGCCTGACGCCACATTTTATTAGGACTTTCATCCTCTGTATCAGTAATGTTAACATCAGAGGTAGACGAATGGAGTGCCAGGCTAGATGACCAACGAGCTTTAAGATCCTTGGGTGATAGGGAACTAAATGGCTTTGACTGCTTTCTTTTTAATTTACAACCCCAAGAAGAAAAAGGAGTCATATAATTTTTCGAGTGATTCGGATTTAAAGATTGGTCATGGACATTATTTTCAAAATGTTCACTGTCTCTGCCAGCACCTTCAATCATATAATCGTAAATTTCAGGAAGCTCATGAAATTCAACAATATCTAACAGCTTTAATTCATTTCTAGGTATTTGAGTTGTCATATCTGGAGAGGTTGCAGCATGTCTTCTGTTCTTAATTACAGACTTTCTTCCTCTCCCTCTGCCCCTTCTGCCAGTCCTAATTCTATTGTTATTTGTTTCATTTACTATTACACTGTCAGATGGCTGTGCTTCAGATGGCTCCCTAGTACATGCATTCATATCCTTAACTACAACCTCTATTGTTACTTCATCAACACTAATGCTCTCTCTACAAAGAGCTTTACCCCTTCCTCTTGGTGCACTTTGCCTTGTGTTGGCTACTTGACCACCCTTTGTAGCCCTGCCTGATTTCACTGTAGAAGACCTTTCCTCTGGCTCAGTTGTGGATAATCCAGATTTTCGACATCGACCCCTTGATCGACCACGTCCTCTTGCACGAGTCTTATTTCTTTTCCCAAGATCTTTGTCAGGTGTTTTCTTAGTCTTCACAAGCACATTTTTGCAATTTTTCTCCAGTGGTTTTATTCTATTAGTTTCTGGAATTTCAGATTCTGACTCATCTGTTAAGCTGATATCAGAGCCAAACATGTCCATAACTTGTTTTCAACTTTGTATTAACATGAGTACATTTTGTTTTACTTTTATTTTTAGAATCTTTGTTCACAGAATCAAAGATGGATTTCTTTAATGTATTACCTGAATACGAATTTTTATCTTCCTTTACCCGGGAAGAAACCTTTGTAGTGCTCTCACAATAAACATTAATATTACATATCTTTTGCTTCAAAACCTCATTACTTGTACTTCTGAACTCCTTATTTTCCACAGATTTATCAGTATCTGTTAATATAGCTTCACCTCTTTTCCTTCTGGCAGATATTCTAAAATGATTAGTACTTTGTGTACTCTGTTGTGATGAAAAAATTTCCTTATATTCATCCTCAACTGTGTTCTGCACCAGTATTCTTGCCTCCAGAGTACTTTGTTCACAAGCTGATATGCTCCTTTCACCAGGTTCACTAAAATTATCTTGTGTAATTCTAACCAACTTTCTGTCCTTTTTGACTTTGCTTCTAGTCCTAGGGGTGTTTTTCAAAGACCTGGGCTTTTTATTCACACTAGGATTAGTAAGCACTATGAGTTTAGGGTCAGCTTCATCTTCAGAATGTTCCAATTCAGCAAGACTTTGGTATTTCTTTGATGGTATTCTTTTCTTGTTGACTTGTTTACCTTTTGCAGGATCTTTGATTTTTTTCTCATTTTTGTCCGAAAGTTCAATTTTTGTAGAACAATGGGAATGACTACTTGACTTTTCAGCTTGAACATTCAAATGTGTACTTCTAGCATCATCTGAAAACAACTTAACCATCTCTTTCTCAATTACCTCCCCCATTGATTTCCTTGACATTTTAGTAGAGCTTATGTGAGAGCCCAATTGTATTTTTTGGCAATCAGGACTGCTGTTAGCTACACTAACGTTAGTGCTCAAATTTTCTATTACACTTGTTTCCCACACGGTTTCTAACCTGGAAGGTGAGCGTATGTCAGAGTCTGTTGTTAAGGAGCGCTCTGATGGCATGTAATATGAAGTGCCTACTGAGCTGTTTGAATAAGGCCCACGAGGATATTCTTTGATTAGTGGGGACGAGTCTGCAGTCATTTGGGAAACAATGGGTGGAAGTGGAGTGTTAAGGTCCCTCTCCTCCTGACACAGAGCTCCATGCTCACCAGGGAACAATGGGGTTGTAGGTTCTAAGCACACAGGAGTCATGGGGAGCAACTCTCTACAGTTTGATGATAAAAGTTCACCAGCCTTACATGGGGTGTTCAGGTTTTTTATTTTTACTTTATCACACTGACCAAACACGTTAGATGAATCAACATTTTCTGATTGTATATTTGCTGACAAAATAAAATCTGTATTAAAACCTTTAGAATTGTTAATGCAACCTTCATTGTTTTGATTATGGTTAAATTCTTCAGAGAGAATTTGTGTTAGATTCTCAAAACTACCAGCTTTACTGTGCAAATCAATAAGTTCCATACTACCTACATCTGTAGCTTGAGTTTCAACATCTGAACTTTCGCTATCGTCATCGTCAATGCGTAAAACTAAATTCTCCTCCTCTTCTATGTCTAACTGACACTCCAACTGTTTACTTGCCTGTGCTATACCCCTCACAGAGTCTAAATTGTCACTTTTTAATGTACTATTAGAACAATTACTATCTGTCTTAACTCCGTTTTGTTTTAACCTGGATAAACTTAGTGGTTTTTGGTTTGACAATTCCTTATTTATAGATTTTTTACTAGACTTAGTTTCTTTTCCAATTTCTCCTGCATCTTTATCTTCTATTATCTTTTTAGCAATGTTCAATGGCTTTGAATATGGCACTTTAACTGTTCTCTTTGGTGATCTTTTGTTTAATGGAGGTGAAAATTTCAAGTTGGCTATAGCTTTCCGTGGGGCTCTGCTGGGTATTTTACACTTTTGTGGTGTGCTGAAATCTAGAACTCTAACATGACTGTTCTTGTAACTTGGAGTACTCTGGCTTCCCTTCTTTGTTGTTCTGGCAATAAACTTCTTTGATGGAGAAATACTCTGTGAGAGTTGAAGAAGGGCTTTCAGTTTTGGAGACCTGCCTGTATTACATTTATTGACTGAAAAATCTGATGAATCATTACTATAAGTTTGTATCACATTCAAATTTAAACCTGAAATTTCTTTTTGGCCTTTAGTGCTACAAACATCATCACTGAGACATTCAACTCTTATTTCTGCATTAGCACCTCTATCATTATGTGATCCTGTTTCTAATGTTTTTAGTTCTGGGGTTTCTTTCTGATCCTGGTCCTCACCTACATCATTTTGAAAAGTATGAGGTAATGTTTCAGTACAGCTATTATGAACCAATGAAGAATCTTTTGAAGTGTCCTTTACAGCATGAGGCTCCTCTTCTCTGAGTGGTGAGGCAGTTACTATATCTGACTGTCTATTTGACATTTGAGTACCAAGCACCTCATTAGCTTTAACAGGAGTTACTGAATTAAGAGCAAATGAAAAAGCTGTTGCTACAATATTGCTACTTAACACAGATTCCTCCAGCTTTGTTTGCATTCGTTTTGTTCTTTTTCCAGCTTTCCCTATGCCCCGCTTTTTAATCTTAGTCATATCAACGTGTCTCCCAAGTGGTGCTTTCTTGCACCCTACGGGGGACTTTTGAGTAGATTTTATACTCGCTGCTCTGCTTTTCTTATTGGAGTTGTTAGCTTGAAGAGGTCCATCAGTCTTCTTAACATCTGGCAGAGAGAAGCTTACATTATTGGGCAAGACGTAGGTAGTGGCAGGTTGAAAAGTTCCTTCAGATTTTCCATTAGCAGCAACTGAAACAGAAATATAGAATGTATTCACAAACCTAACAAAATCTATAAGATACTGTAGAGGAACTAATTTTATAGATCTTGGTTACCTGCATATGTCATTTTCAATAAAAATGATATATATTATTTCTTGCTATACAGCTAAGGATCTAGGCCCATTATTTCTAAACACTGAAGCCAAAAGCACAAGGCTGCATATTTATTTACACCACAACCAAAGTAACACAAGAAAACTATCCCTTGTTTTTTGTTACCCAATTCTTAGTTGGAAACTGCCTTTTCTCTTTCAACTTGAATATTCACCTCTAAACTTCTGTACCTGAAGAAGTGATGGTTCACTTGCCTACAGAGTTGACTCAACTTCTCAGCTCCTTTATCTGAAGAAGTGTTGCTTTCCTCTTCCCCACATGACTATCAACACGCTGTAATACATTCTCTGCCTACATGCTCTTTTACTGATAATGTAAGATAATTAACTGAATAAAATTTGAGCATATACACTGTCATACCTGAAGCCTCTGCATGATGAACTCTTGGTGCATCACACTTTGGGGCAATAAGCACAGGTGGTTTTTTCCAAGCTGAAAAAAAAAGAGGATTTGTACTTAATTTCAGGCACTTTTTTCTGACATTAACACAATAAGTCTTTGTACAGTCCCTGTATATATTTTATGCTGTACTGAAGTTGCTGTACATTTTACAACAACACTTACCATTCAAACTGGTTTATAGTTCAAGTTCTTTTTCCCTTTCACTCTTTTTATTAACAGTAAGCCCCCAAACTTATGCTACTATGACTTACCGTGATCCACATTTACAATACTACTGGCACTCTGGAACTGCTTATTTACATACTTGTAATAGCTGATCTGCAATTATGATCACTGCAAATACTGTATTTTCTCTTTTCCCAAATGCATTCAAATTTTTTATATCATTTTAATATGTAAGGAGTAGTTGAGAACTACAGATTTAACATTTATGATTCTTTTAATGCTAAATCATAAATACAGAGTACAAAATAATTTTTCTTGGTTAGTTTTTCTCAAATGCACTGGCATTTAGCATCTGTTCTTTTCATGCATGTGTGGAGGAGTTCATATATTTTTGGTAGAGAATGGTTAAGAGCAGTAGATTAAATAACTATGTTGGGCTATGACAGTCACTGCCATTGGTGTCTGAAAATTGGACACGTTGGTGTGAGGTGCTGTTAAGTTTATTTAGGCACAGGTACACATAAGAACAGTTGTAACACATGGTGTAAATTACCTAGGATAACCCCAAAAAAGGTCAAACAAAGTGACTTATTTCAATTAGGGTACCTAATATCGACACTATAAAGTATTAGTGAACATAAGTAAAAAGTCTCAAGTTAGATACTATGTGGGGATGGTGGGGTGGTGAATAGGCGAATGAGAATATGTACTCACCTGTATATGGTTGCAGGGGTGGAGTCTTAGCTCCTGACCCCACATCTCAACTTGCCAGATTCACTCCTCCCTAACCTCACAGGCCCTATCATTCCCGATATTAAAACCATTGTATGAATATATGGAGCCTGCCTCCCATTATTATTATAATCAAGGGGGAAGCGCTAAACCCGGAGGATTATACAGCACCAGGGGAAGGGATGTGGAAGGCATTCAGGGTTAATTCGGGGAACTGGAGCACAGATCCAATTCCCTAAATCAAGAGCCCCTCACCAACATCAAGGAACCTTCCTTGAGGGGCCTGCCTCCCAAATTTCCTCACCAAGATCATTCCACTTCCCAACCACTTTGATATTGAAGAAATACTTCCTAACATCTCTGTGGCTCATCTATGACTTTAATTTCCAGCTGTGGCCTCAAGTACCCGTGTTCTGCCTCTCAAATATCTTGTCATTGTCTATCTTATTAATTCCCCTGAATATTTTGTGTTTTTATTATGTTCCCTCTGGTTCTTCTGTCTTCCAATACCATTAGGTCCTATTCCATTACTCTCTCCTTGTAGCTCATGCCCTTTAGCTCAGAGACAAGCCTTGTTGAATACTGCTACACTTTTTCCTGTTTTTTAACTTTTTTTCAGGTTTAGGTTTCATATTGGTGCTGCATACTCCAAAATGGGCCAAACGTAAGTTCTAAAAAGGGCCAGGAATGAATCTTTGTTGTGATTCTTGAAGGCCAAATGATATATGTCTGGTTATACAACTGGCCAATCTACTCACTTCTCCATTATCATGTCCTTTTCTTTCTGTATTACATTCTCTTACAGTTTTCTTTTTTCCCTCCCTGCATCTCTGGTTAAACCAAGGGCTCTCTCTTGGTCTTTGTTGTTTCTACATCTTTTTGGTATGAAGGTTTCCTTGGCTTCCCTGAATTTTCGAACTAAGTATACTCCAGCATATTATCTATTGATTTACCTTCTAATTCACTGTACTAAGCCATTACATTCAGAAGTCTATCAATCCCTCAAAACTCTGCCTTCTAAAGTTTAGTTTTTCATGCTATCCACCTACTGTATTACTCTCTACTTCTACCTGTTCACACTATCTCAGTGAAGCATTATACTGGTCACTAATACTACACAGCATTATTCTGGTCACTAATACTACACAGCATTATACTGGTCACTAATACTACACAGCATTATACTGGTCACTAATACTACACAGCATTATACTAGTCACTAATACTACACAGCATTATACTGGTCACTAATACTACACAGCATTATACTGGTCACTAATACTACACAGCATTATACTGGTCACTAATACTACACAGCATTATACTGGTCACTAATGCTACACAGCATTATACTGGTCACTAATACTACACAGCATTACAATGGTTAATGTTTCACTACTACTACTACATAACACTACATTTTTCATTCCTTCACTACATCTTCAGACACTGTCACTCACAACTCTTTCACTGCTTGACAGACAATGGCAAAAGCTGACAAGTGGAAATGAAGACACCGGTAGCAGAGACTCCTTTAAGTTCAATGCTATGCCTAAGGCTCGACTTTATTAAGTAGACAGGAATAAGCAAATTACACTGCCTTATACTATGGCAAATGAGCATTAAAAGATCAGGCTTGGATAGAGAAATCTCATAAATTGTGAGATCAGGTATAAGTGAGGTCAGGTATTAGTAAGAGAAGGGGGTGGGGACAGGGTGACAAGTTCATTATATGAATCACAGAGAGAGTTAGTAGTAGGTCCAGCCAACATATACATTCCACATTTTTTGCTCAATGGTTTTAGTGATGTGGATCATTGCTCCTTCCATAATTTTGCTTATGATCCTGTTGTTCTTGTCGTTCTTCCCCAGTTCATATGAGAATAAAGGATGCAATGTACTCATGAGTGTTTTGTATTATCCCTCCTGCAGGCACAATTATGTTCCTGAAGGCATGTCTGAAGGTCTCTGCCAGTCTCCCCAACAAAGAATTTACTGCAACCACTGCAAGGTAATTGTGGTAAATTTTGCTGGGGATAAATATGTTGTAATAAATTTTATGAAGCATAAAGCTTACCTTGCAGTAGTCGCAATAAATTCTTTACCGGGGGAGACCGACAGAGACTTTCAGACACACCTTCTGGAGCATAAACATGCCTGCAGAAGGAATAAAACCAAAAATGTGTGAGTAATACATCACATCCTTCGTTCTTACCTCATGGACTTTAGAAGAGCACAACTGTTACATCACAAGAACAAGATCAGAAGCAGAATTCTGGAAGCAGCAATGATCCACCTCACTAAAATCACTGAGCAAGCCAGTGTAATGTACAGTGGAACCTCAATTTTCGCACGCTCCAGTTATCGGACGTTTCGGTTTTCAGACCGTTTTTTGTGCGAAATTTTGCTTCAGATATCGGACTTTGCTCTGGTTATCGGACATATGATACGCGTCTGCCCGCCTGGCCACCCAGGGGACGCCGCCAGTACACCTCAGTCTGCCTCTGTCACTGAGTGAGCATTACTTGGTGCATTCCAAAACATTTCGTAATAATTCCTTGTTTTTGGTGCTTGTTTTTTAGCCAGCATGGGCCTAAAGAAAGTTTCTAGTGCCAGCCCTTTGATAAAGAAGGCGAAAAACACGATAGAGGGTGGTAGTGGTAGTGACGGTGGTAGAGGGTGGTAGTGGTTGTGATGGTGGTAGTGATGGTGGGAGAGGGTGATAGTGGCTGTGATGGTGGTAGAGGGTGGAAGTCAGGGTGGAAGTCAGGGTGGAAGTCAGGGTGGAAGTCAGGGTGGTAGTGAGGGTGGTAGAGGGTGGTAGTAGTTGTGATGGTGGTAGAGGGTGGTAGAGGGTGATAGTGGTTGTGAGGCGGAAGAGGGCATAGTGGTCGTGATGGGTAAGAGGGCTGAGTAGTGGTGTGATGGTGGTAGAGGGTGGCAGTGATGGTGGTATAGGGTGGTAGTGATGGTGGTAGAGGGTGGTAATGGTTGTGATGGTGGTAGAGGGTGGTAGTGGGTACGATGGTGATAGAGGGTGGTAGTGATGGTGGTAGAGGGTGGTAGTGATGGTGGTAGAGGATGGTAATGATGGTGGTAGAGGGTAGAGCTGCAGGAGCTCTCTGGACAATTTTTTTGTGCAACAGGGGTCCAGTGACTCTCAAGCTGGTCCTAGTGGCATTAAAAGATAAAGAAGGGGAAATAACTCCCAGAGAAGGATTGTTACCTGAAGTCATTATGGAGGGGGAATTTCCTTCTAAACAATAACCCCAACTTCCTCTCCCCTCCTCACCTTCCATATGCCAACAAGAGTCTTCAATAAAGGTATGTAATGTTTATATATATTTATCATTGTTTTGTGTATGTAAAATTATATTTGTTCTTTAAAAAATTAATTTTTTGTGAATATTTTTGGGTGTCTGGAATGGATTAATTGTATTTACATTATTTCTCATGGGAAAAATTTATTCAGTTTTCACACGTTTCAGATTTCGGACCACCTTCTGGAATGGATTAAGTTCCAAAACTGGGGTTCCACTGTATGTGTTGTCTGGACCTATTACCAAAACTCTCCATGATTCACATAATACAGTGGTACCCCAAGTTTCAAACAGCTCCCAACTCGAACAATTAAGTAAGTGTATTATTGTAAGTTCTTTTGTAAGTGTATTTTGGGGGTTTGAAATGGACTAATCTAATTTACATTATTCCTTATGGGAACACGTTCGTTCAGTAATGGCACTCAAACAGCCTTCTGGAATGAATTATGGCCGAAACTCAGGGTACCACTGTAAACTTATTAGTCACCCTATCCTCACCCAGTACAGTAAGTTCTCATTTAACATCACTGACAGGTTCTTAGAAACTGTGACCTTAAGCAAAATGACATACGTATAAGGAAACCAGCTTTACCACAGACTAATTGATAAGTATAACCAACAGGGGTGCACAGTGCACCTCTAGCACTCAGTGCAACAGGGTTAAATCAAGGAATAAATGTTTGCCAAGGGAAAATTGTAAGGTGAGCCTCCTACCACCACTCAGTTCAAAAACGAATGTACAAACTCCACACAGACAGTGGCCCTAGTAAGGAATCTATTTTTTTCCTCATCAGCATTATAACGAAACGACATTGAAGGAAACAACATCAAGTGAGGACTTACACACTTGATCTTGTACTTTATGGCTATATGTGTGACCTATTCTCTGTGGGCAAGTGGAACAGAATTCTTCCTCCACAAGCCATGCGTGTCATAAGAGGCAACTAAAATGCCGGAAGCAAGGGGCTAGTAACCCCTTCTCCTGTATTTATTACTAAATGTAAAAGGAGAAACTTTGTTTTTCCTTTTGGGCCAACCTGCCTCAGTGGGATGCGGCTGGTGTGTTGAAAGAAATAAGATGTGTGACCTATGTTTATCGAAGTCTAACCTCAAGGTGCCTGTTTGCTTTATAAGATGATGGATGTATTTGCTCATTACCATGAATGTGCCATACCTGATAATGCCCAGCCTTAAACAAAGCATTGTATTACAAGAATTCCCTGCTAGCAGTGACTATGTCTCATTGCTTTCTACAGACCACTAACCACCCATATCTCTGTATTTGTGAACTCAAATTTTTCTCTTAAAAACAGTCTCTCTACATATATAATTAACTCTCATTTTACTCTTCAAAACAGTCTTGCTTCATCTCTTTTGCTTCTCTGCACACTGCCTCTATGGTAACAATCCACTGATGCAATCTAACATTTGTGACACTTAAGTTTTTTTTTTTTTTTTTTTTGCTGAATATAATATTTTTCTTGTAAGGCAAAGCTGATTACTGCTAGTTGCTTGCAATTTTGAACAGCTGTTTCCATTTGCCATAACTTTCAGCTGGATGGATATGTAGCAACAGCAAAATCTATAATCACAAAAAGACCTATTCTATAATTACGTCTTTGAGTTTAGTGGGGCAAGCTCCAGCTCTTGGTCATGTCTCTTAATTTTTGAATGATATGAGTGAGCCTTATATCCATTTTTGAATCCTTGTACAGGGTTTGCTAAAGTGTCACAGCTTAGCTCATTCCAGTTATTTACCATTCTTACATGAATCACAGCCAAACTGTAAAGAGCTAAACATTGGTTTGTGGAAAATGACAAGATTCAAGTTCAAATAAAGGCACCAAATTCATTACAAGTTGCTACATACCATTTGTGATTTTCCTCCTTATACAAGCTCTAGGTGTCTGCTGTGATGCAAAAGGTTTTGTCTTAATTACACTCGAATCACACTGGTTATAACTCATACCTCCATAACCCATCCCAAAAAACTGAGGTAAGGTTGAATACGAGGAAAGTGGCATCATTATTATTGTAGCTTGGTCATCTGTAAATCATAACAAACTCAGACATTATCAAACAAAATTTCTTCAAAACAAAAACGGACATTTACACACTTAAAAGACTATTCTAATGTTCTTTACATTAGTCACACCACTTTATTCCAAAATGTTAAGAAGCAAGGGTAATCATGAACTAAAAATGATTTCAATTAATACTATCAAGCCAAGACTCTTTTCCTCTCTATGACCTAAATCCTTTAATATTTACCAGTACTATATTAACCCCTTCACTGTCCAAAGCCAAGAAATTAAAAGTTCTCACAGCATCCACATTATTTAAAAAAAAAAATTCTGGAATGGGAAACTTATGGAATTACACAGGTGGAAAGTTAGCAGTCTGGGCAAAATTTATGCAGCAGGGATTCTGCACACTTTGAGTCCTATTTTAAGCTAATTCTATTTTTAATTTAACCATATTCCTAGCTATTTTGCTAGTATGCCTTCCGCCTTATTGATCGAGCATAAGAAATTATCAATTCAGTTATCAGAACTACCCTATTACGTGTACAGAAGTCAGCAATTTTATCAATTTTACACACAAAAAAAATTACAATTTAAAAAGAGTCCATAATAAACACTGTAAACATTTCAGGCACTGAAACAACATTTCTTCTGTTCATTAGTCATCCCCAGGCCTCCACTATATTACACCTGCCTTCCATTTTGAATTTAGCACACAAAAAATTAAGATTTACCTTATTGCTCAGATAACAAAATATAACCAAGAATGATTGGTCATGGTTTACACCATCCCAATAACTGAATCAACCTTGTTAATACTACAACAGACTAGGCAGTTTAGAGGCCTTACCCATCCTCAAGAAAATTTGAAATAGAATTTTTTTTTTTTATTAATACACTGGTCGTTTCCCACCAAGGTAGGGTGGCCTGAAAAAGAAAAACTTTCGCCATCAGTCGCTCCATCACTGTCTTGCCAGAGGTGCACTTACACTACAGTTATAAAACTGAAACATTAACACCCCTCCTTCAAGAGTGCAGACACTGTACTTCCCATCTCCAAGACAAGTCCCGCGTGCCGGTTTCCCCGAATCCCTCACACTCCAACAGCACGTTAAGTCCTAAAAACCATTTGTCTCCATTCGCTCCTAACATGCTCACGCATGCTTGCTGGAAGTCCAAGCCCCTTGCACATAAAACCTCTTTTACCTCCTCCTTCCAACCTTTCCTAGGCCAACTCCTACCCTGAAGGTAGAAGGGAAAGGGGTCATCTCAGGAACAGTTGGAGAGAGGGGATACAAGAGTTTGATCTTCAGGGGCTTAAAGATCCAGAAGATAGGTGTAGGGGTAGATTGATTGGGACATGCACTGCTTTATCTTGTCAGTCCTAAACACTTTTACTGTGCATTAAATAGTCATGCTTGAACTGTCACAAAAAAAGCCAAAACCCACATGCCATGACTGGTATTAAGTACTGTAGTTTGTAAGGCTTAAAACTAGTTTGCCCAAAATGCTTTGCATAACAAAGGGTTTTCATTAGAATATGTTAAGATAATGTTCCTCATAACCATAGCCAATATGCACATAATTCATAACCAAGCAAACCCATCTACTGTAACTTCCATGTACAGTGGAACCTCAGTACTTGACCAGTTCCTTACTTGAACAATTCAGTATTCGAACGCTTTGCTCAGTAAACAAATCACTCAGTGGTCAACTGTTTGCTCGGCACTCAAACAAACAAACAACCTGCCAGAACTTTGCTGCAAACTATTGCATGTTTTCTCACATTTTTGGTGTTTTTTATATTATTTGTTTAAATAAGTCACCATGGGGCTTAAGAGGGTTAGTGATAACTTCCAACCAAAAAGAAAATTGGTTGGGAAAAATTTGTTCAGTACTCGGACAGATCACTCGAACAGCCTCGTGGAACGAATTAAGTTCGAGTGCCGAGGTTCCACTGTAAGTGTAGTGTAAATGATGACAATAACCATCAATGAGAACAGGCACCCCACCTTTTACTTGCCCACAGTAATGCTCTTATGGTCAACCATGACAAACTCATCTTATGCATAACTCATGCAAAATTTACTTATTTTATTATTTTTTATTAACACATCGGCAATTTCCCACCAAAATTTAATTGTGATCACAAATGCACAATACAGCTAAATAACATTTAGAAATAATACTTTGGGAACATACCTGCATTTTCCTGTCCACTAGCAAATGTAATGATATGCCCATTATTTATCGCTTCCTCTGGGATTGGTGGAAGCAGAATAGTAGTGATATCTCTATCATTTCCATTAATAATCTGTGGGACGTGTTGTGTGAGCTCTGTTCCTTGTTCATCTTGTCTTGAGGTGAAGACACTAATGCCAGAAAGACTTGGAGCAAGTCCAGCAGAATCATTTCTTGTTATTAGTGAGTTTGAGAAAGGGCAAACAGATGCTGCAGCCAAACCTGCTAATTCAACATTGCCCGATGCCACATTTTGCATAGATGCAGGGTATAGTAATCCTGTTCCTTCATCCACATAGTATGAACCTTCCACATAAGGAAATCCTTCTAAATTTACTGGAGTAAGTTCGGATAAAGTATAATTATCATTGCGTGTCGCAGCAAGCTGGCTATTGCACACTCTAACAGACGTAGCAATACCTGGTATTGTTTTACTTCGCACTGGAAGGACAGCTGAAGGTACAGTGGTTAAGAGACCTAGACCATTCTCATAATTTGCAGAAGGTTCAAGAATTTCAAGAGTTTCACTATATGGTAGAACATGCAAAGGTTCTGTTACTGGCAAGGATTCCTGGACTGAATCTGATTTTTGTCCCACACTTTCTGTTGCCTGTATGTCAGATGCAAAATTGTTACTTTTATCTGGGCTAGCTGAACTAACATGACAAGATATACTGGGTGCTGTTGCTAATTCTTCAGCTGGAGCATCATCACACACAGATGCCTTGTGACCAGTAAGGAAAGGAGAGTGCTCATCAGAGTTTTCAGCCATACAAGCACCAGCTTCACTTGGAACCCCTGAAATAAGCACATCTCCAGATATTTTGGGCACAGCAGAACAAGCATTAAATTTATTTTCTTTAGTTGGAGTTTGATCTTCTTCATCACATTTACTTAATCTTTTTCTAGGTGTGGCAGACTCCCTCTCACCTGAGTCACCACCACCTTCACATTCATTAAGTTTATCAGGCCGAGAAGACTGAAAGTCAGCAAATTCTTGTAAAAGTTGTTCCCCAAGATTATTTTCATCTTCCTTTATTTTTTTTTTAATTGACTTGGAATTCTTTCTTTTGCTTTTGGATTTGAGACTTTGTAATACAGGAGAATTCGTCGATAAGGCTTTGGACGGAATAGCATCCGGTGAACTGAAAAATAATGTATATGTCACATATTTCCTAAAAACATTTTTGCATTGTGGATAAATTAAATATTTTTTATAATAACTTTTATTACAGATTTTCAGCACATTAAAGTTAAAATGATGCACATTAAAGTTAAAATGATGCACTATATTTCACATTACTGAGTGTCAACTAGCTTCCTGTGAAGCAAGATTTGCTAGGTTATTGCAAGAAAAATGCAATCCAACCAGTCCTCTCCTGTCTCATTTCTCTTACTTTGTCATAGAATTACAACAGGTTGGTTAGACAAGACTTGCAATCTCTGAACCCATGCTAGTTATTGTTTATGAAACCACTTCTCTCCAAGTGCTCTATCATTCTCCTTCTGATTATCTTCTCCCTTACTATGCATGGTATACATGTCAGTAAAACTGACATGTATACCATGCAAGTATATGACTACCTCCACAATAAAGCTGGATATGATATGATATTTAAGTACTATGTATTAATAAATAAATCTCAGATTTCTGCAATAAATGCAAAATATCTATTACTGTACCTGAGTGAAGAGGTCTTTTGGCCAGATGGAGCAATATTTTGAGTACTGCCTTCACAAGCCACTGACTGAAAACTTCTGGCAGCACTTCTTGTTATCCGACCCTTTACACCTATTGGCTCACTACTTGGTAATTTCTTATTTTTCTTATTGGATGTTTTTGATGATGTGTTTGAAACTTGTACAACTGCCTGTGGAGGAGAAGGGGAGGCTGGAGGAGAGCAGGCTAGCAAACACTCTTCGGGAGGCTGCGCATACTGTGAAGTAACCTCTGGCAATGAACGATTATGAGCTGCTTCAGACACTGATGAATGATTTAGTGGGGAAGCAGGTAATAAATGAGACATAGGTGAACGTACGTTGTTAGGGGTAGAAGATGGGAGACGAGAATGGGAGGTAGGAGAATAAAGCATTGAAATTTGTTTGAGTGCTGAAGTTGATGGTGGTACTGGTGTTGATAGAAGTCTTGATGCTGTCAATGGGGTATCCTGCATACAGCCATTGTTAGACTGGGAGGAGCCATTACTTTTCAATGAAGTTGATTGTGGAGTACCAGAACCTAGGAACAAAAGTAATACAAATGTATAATAGTAGTACTGTATTTTATTTTTACCACACCAGACATCTTCCACTAAGGTAGGGTGACTCAAATCAAGAAGAAACACATTCACCACTATTCATTCAATAGCTGTCCTACGAGAAACACGTGGGCCCAGACATCAGAAAAGAAGATATATTACATAAATAGAAATAATTCTGACTGATTTCAGGACTGAAAGTAGCTTGAAATTAAGCTCAAAGTAGAGGGAATGTTCGATTTTTGCTGCTGCAGCAATATAATTCTTTTTTTTATTTTTTATTAACACATCGGCCGATTCCCACCAAGGCAGGGTGACCAGAAAAAGAAAAACTTTCATCATTCACTCCATCACTGTCTTGCCTGAGGGGTGCTTTACACTACAGTTATAAAACTGCAACATTAACACCCCTCCTTCAGAGTGCAGGCACTGTACTTCCCATCTCCAGGACTCAAGTCCGGCCTGCTGGTTTCCCTGAATCCCTTCATAAATGTTACTTTGCTCACACTCCAACAGCACGTCAAGTATTAAAAACCATTTGTCTCCATTCACTCCTATTAAATACACTCATGCATGCTTGCTGAAAGTCCAAGCCCCTCGCACACAAAACCTCCTTTACCCCCTCCCTCCAACCCTTCCTAGGCCGACCCCTACCCCGCCTTCCCTCCACTACAGATTTATACACTCTCAAAGTCATTCTGTTTTGTTCCATTCTCTCTACATGTCCAAACCACCTTAACAACCCCTCCTCAGCCCTCTGGATAATAGTTTTGGTAATCCCACACCTTCAAATTTCCGAACTACGAATTATCTGCATTATATTCACATTGCCCTCAGACATGACATCTCCACTCCCTCCAGCCTTCTCCTCGTTGCAACATTCATCACCCATGCTTCACACCTATACAAAAGTGTTGGTACAACTATACTCTCATACATTCCCTTTTTTGCTTCCACAAACAAAGTTCTTTGTCTCCACAGACTCCTAAGTGCACCACTCACCCTTTTCCCCTCATCAATTGTGTGATTCACCTCATCCTTCATAGACCCATCTGCTGACATGTCCACTCCTAATTATCTGAATACATTCACCTCCTCCATACTCTCTCCTTCCAATTTGATATCCAGTCTTTCATCACCTAATCTTTTTGTTATCCTCATAACCTTACTCTTTCCTGTATTCACTTTTAATTTTCTTCTTTTACATACCCTACCAAATTCATCCACCAACCTCTGCAACTTCTCTTCAGAATCTCCCAAAAGCACCGTGTCATCAGCAAAGAGCAACTGTGACAACTCCCACTTTGTGTTTGATTCTTTACCTTTTAACTCCACACCTCTTGCCAAGATAATTCTGACCTTATAAAAAAGAAAAAGTAAGGAAAACAAAAGGTGAACTGAACAGAAAAGTGAGAGATGTGTGTGTTCAGGTTTGAGTGGTGGTGGAGGAATGAACTGGCTGTGTTCCTGAGAGGTCATCATGCATTGACATAGAAATGCCTTTTAATTTTTCAAAATGTTAACTTTTAATATATCAGCTGTTTCCCACCAAGGTAGAAATGTACACATTTATCATCATTCATTCTCTAGTAGCTTTCCCAGAAGTGTAGACATCACAATTTGACCACAATAAAATGTGATCCTTCAGACCACTGGTACTGTACTTCCCACCCACAGAATTCAAGTCTACCTAACCAGTTTTTCCTGAATCACTTCATAAATTTTATAGTGCTCCCTCTAAATTCATGGAGGATATATTTCTAGAGGTCCTGCAAATTAAGAAACCGATACTGTCCATATAACTGATTTTCTCAGATTTGGGCTTGTTTTACCTGTGGTATCAATATTTGCTTTGGCAAAAGTTTAGGGTTTAAAGTCAATACAATCACAGTACACAATCTGTTTTCAACATTTTAGAGAGAAATAAAGCAACAGAAAAAAATTAGTCAACCAAATTAGTACATTAGGAAAAATTACTTACCAAAAACTTCGTCAAGAAGAGACTCAAAAGCAGGATCTGCTGTAGTTTCAGAGACAATGTGGTCCAGTTCTCTGATGGGGGTCATATCCCCAATGGAAATCATGGACGAATAATTTACACTGCTTTTACGTCTAATACTGTCATCAGGACTTCCTTTGGTATTACTAGTGCAAACTCCTTTGTTCTTATTACTATTACTGCCACTAGTGTCATTGCCAAGAGCTGTGGTAGCACAAGACTCTTCATCACCACCATCTTCAATACCACTAGTTTTACTCTGGCTACTTAGTCCTCTATTGATATTTTCTGCTATTTTCTCATGAAGGGCTGTATTCTCAAATAGATTTTTAAGTATCTTCTGAAAGTTGAAAAAGAAAATAACAAATAAAAATTATAATTTATCAACAATTACTAAATATGTTAAATTAGACACATGTGCAACTCTTGGGTATCTTTATTGAGGAAACGTTTCGCCACACAGTGGCTTCATCAGTCCATACAAAGGAGAATCTTGAAGAAGCCACTGTGTGGCGAAACGTTTTCTCAATAAAGATACCCAAGAGTTGCACATGTGTCTAATTTAACAACGTGTCGGTTCTTTGAACCATTCATCTACAATTACTAAATAGTTATATGTCATCCTTATTCAGACAAATATGTGTATAGGGGTGTTTGAATAATAGAAACTAGGCACCACTTGTTTTCATATTAAAAAATAGTTATTAATAAGCTACAAAACATTCACACGTGGATGATTACTAACAAACACCCTCACTAACACTACTTTTCCCTTATCTACCCATACCTCATCTATGGAAAATGTGCTTGGGGATCCACTTTGGCTAACACCTCAAATTAATTATAACTGAACACAAGAAACCTCTCAGAACAATCACAAATTTTACCTCAAAACTGGCTTCACTGTCCAAAATTGGACTAATTCCATTTGTTATATGGTCCGAGGCCTGGCTTCTTCTTTTAACTTGGTTACTAAAATAAACAAAATATATTACATAATTAATCAGTAATTCCAATGCAGCAACATACAAAATATGCAATAAACATTATTTTATAATTAAAGTTTCAGCTACAGACCTGAGCACATAGTGTATGGTCATCAGTATTTAACCTATTAATGGTATACAAATGAGACATATATTGCTGAGACATTTCACCTGCACAGCAAGATTCTTCAGTTGAATACATGGTGACTAGTGTAATGGAGATAGTTGAGGAAGTGGAGATTTGGAGGAATTCAGTCTTTCAGTCTTGGTAGAAGTGGAGAAATCAACTTGAGGTGTTAAGGAATGGTGCCTTTCCTCCAGACTCCAAGGTAACCCACTTATCTCCCATGAATTTTTTTAATTGGGGGGAAACACTACTCACAAGAATTGTATAGCAACTGGGGAATGAGAAACAGGTTCATTTCAAGGAAGTGGAAGTAGTCTCTTGAATTAAGATGATCTCACCAGCATTAACTTACAGACAGGTCTCTCACAACACAGATTTAAGTAGGCACTTTTTTATTACAATGCTAATCATATTTTTTTTTTCAACAAGTCAGCCATCTCCCACCGAGGCAGGGTGACTCAAAAAGAAAGAAAATCTCCAAAAAGAAAATACTTTCATCTTCATTCAACACTTTCACCTCACTCATACATAATCACTGTTTTTGCAGAGGCAACCAGATACAACAGTTTAGAAGCATATACTATAGAGATATGTAACATATCCCTCCAAACTTCCAATATCCCAAACCCCTTCTTTAAAGTGCAGGCATGGTACTTCCCATTTCCAGTACTCAAGTCCGGCTATATAAAAATAATTGGTTTCCCTGAATCCCTTCACTAAATATTACCCTGCTCACACTCCAACAGCTCGTCAGATCCCAAAATTATTTGAATGTGGCTCCAGCCTATGTGAACCACAGCTAGAATTGGAAGAAATTAATTTGGGTTGGTTCCCACTCAGAAAATTTTCTTCCATGCCATAGGCATCTATTGGCTGCAGGTGGTGGTAGGTAATCATAGCTGATGTGGCTAGTAGTTTGCGGAGGTGGTAGCAGTTACAATCCAAAATATTACTTCCATATAAGGTGGTGAGAAATGGTGATAGGCAGTGTTAGGTGATGATAGTCCTGACAGGTGATCATAGGTGACAGGTGGCTGGTAGGCTGTGGAGGTGGCAGCAGTTACAATACAAAATATTACTGGCCATAAGTGATGTAAATTTGTCATCAATACACATTTTCAAGTACACCCATGTTTAAACTCGTTTTATCACATACTATTAGTAATTATGTATTTCACTATGCACCAACATACACATTTCCAGCAGTACATGGAACTGAATACCAGATTTATTTATATATTTAATATAAAGCCTCAGTAAAACATCACTTACCCTTTCCTTTTCTGAGGTGCTGGGTCAAACTCTGGACCAATTAAAGGCAATGATGTAGTCCCTCCACCAATAGTGTCTCCTCTTGAATTATCTATATCATCTATGTTTGTGTGAATGTCTGCAGGAGGAGTGGCAAGAGGACTGCTGCTAATGGAACCACAAGGATTTGGCTCATCTACACGTGATGAATGAGCCCCTGGCATAATTTCTACACGGATTGGTTCACAAGATGATGATCCAGGGAGACTTTCTGCAGGTGTAGTGTTTATCTCCAGCACTAAGGAAATATGCACAGGCACTTATGAGAATTACCAATTACAGTACCTTTACATTTTAAACTGATTTTTAGTAAAAGTAAGATATTAAGAATGAAATGGAGCTGATGTGTCTATAAGATCAAAATAACAGATGTTGTATCAAATTAATTGTAGGAATATGTAATCTACAACCAGACTGAAACTGTTCATAAGAATCATTTTAGTGATGAGAAAAAATACATAAAAGGAGGATAGGTAGTGATGAAGGAAGAGGCATAAGAGGAATGGTAGACCGATGAGGGTAGGTACATAAGTGGAGGATTGGTGGAGTGATGAGGGACAGTACATAAGAGGAGGATTAGTGGAGTAATGAGGTAAAAAGAGAGATAATCAGCACATGAAAGATTTTTACTATGAAAGACTACAAGAAGAAAACATAAATAAAGAGATGCAGGAAAACAAAAGAATAAATGAGAATAAGTGAGGTACGGTATTATCATTAGTGACAGTGAAATAGCTCACCTTCTTTAGGTCACCTTGCCTACTGAGAGATTCCTAAATATATTAATGTGCAATATATATAACTTCACATTATCTCTATAATAAATATATGCAGTAAACTAAACAGGTAAATCTCCAAGAACAGAAAATAAAAACAGGGTAGAAAGAATCTGTATATTCCAGCCTTGATAAGAGACCATCTTCAGACGATCAGATAAAGTTTTATGAATAAAGCTGAAATATACAGAACCTTTCCACTCCATTTTTCTTATTTTCTGTCTGTGTGGTACGTATTTACCTGCTCATCAACCAGAGATTATAGTACATATATTATGTCTTATCAAGTGTAGTGTTAAATACCACAAACTAACTATTGACTCACAGACAGTTTTACATGGTGTGCTGAAGGCTGATGACGACTTCTGCAGCTCTTTCTGCAACCGACGTGTGCGGCCGGTCTGCCAATTTTTACCAATGATACCTACTGACTTGCCCTATACAGAAATACATTTGTTACACACACCGGGTAAAACTTTCAGATATTTTTTGTAAAATTTTTCCAACAAAAATAAATAGATTGGGTAAAGCAATGATGATGGTGAAAGTGTTTCCTTTTTTTTGGGGGGGGGGGGCAGGGGGGTCACTTCTGCTTAAGTGGGAGATGGCCAGTATGTTGAGAGAAAAAAACACAATGGAGAGATGTATGTACCCCTAATCAGTCAGTCTGTCTCTACATGTAGCAAACTTATTTGTAGATACAGAACAGGCAAGGATGGAGCAAAATAGGATGACTAGGAGGGAGTATAAATCTGGGGTGCAGGGAAGGAGAGGTAGGGGGTCATCCTAGGAAAGGGTGAAGGGAGGAGATAAAGGAGTTTTGAGTGCTAGGGGCTTACATATCCAACAGGCTTGAGTAAGCATGGAAGACAGGGGTGGAGGCAAGTAGTTTTTATGATTTGATGTGTTGCTGGAATGTGAGCAAGATAATATTTATGAAGGGATTCAAGGGAAACCAGTTACCAGAACTGCCCACCTCCAGGACTTAAGTCCTGGAGGTGGGAAGTAGGTAGTAGGTAGTAGGTTGGTAGACAGCAACCACCCAGGGAAGTACTACCGTCCTGCCAGATGACTGTGAAACAAAAACCTGTAACTGTTTTGCATGATGGTAGGATTGCTGGTTTCTTTTTCTGTCTCATAAACACGCTAGATAACAGGGATATCTTGCTACTCCTACTTACACTTTGGTCACACTTCACAGACACGCACATGCATATATATATACATACATCTAGGTTTTTCTCCTTTTTCTAAATAGCTCTTGTTCTTCTTTATTTCTTCTATTGTCCATGGGGAAGTGGAAAAGAATCTTTCCTCCATAAGCCATGCGTGTCGTATGAGGCACTAAAATGCCGGAGCAATGGCTAGTTAACCCTTCTCCTGTAGACATTACTAAAAAAGAGAAGAAGAAAAACTTTATAAAACTGGGATGCTTAAATGTGCGTGGATGTATGCGATGACAAGAAACAGATGATTGCTGATGTTATGAATGAAAAGAATTGGATTCCTGGGCCCCAAGCGAAACAAAGCTGAAGGGGGTAGGAGAGTTTCAGGGGGGAAATAAATTTGGGGTTAAATCTGGAGTATCTGAGAGAGTTTGAGCAAAGGAAGGTAGCAGTAATGTTAAATGATCAGTTATGGAAGGAGAAAAGAGAATATGAATGTGTAAATTCAAGAATTATGTGGATTAAAGTAAAGGTTGGATGCGAGAAGTGGGTCAAAAATAAGCGTGTATGCACCTGGAGAAGAGGGGAATGCAGAGGAGAGAGAGAGATTTGGGAGTGTAAGTGAATGTATAGGAGCCTTTGAACCAAGTGAGAGAGTAATTGTGGTAGGGGACCTGAATGCTAAAGTAGGAGAAACTTTTAGAGAGGGTGTGGTAGGTAAATTTGGGGTGCCAGGTGGTAAATGATAAGGGGAGCCCTTTGATTGAACTTTGTATAGAAAGGGGTTTAGTTATAGGTAATACAAATTTTAAAAAAAAAGAGGATAAATAAGTATACCATGATATGATGTAGGGCGAAATGACAGTAGTTTGTTGGATTATGTATTGGTAGATAAAGACTGTTGAGTAGACTTCAGGATGTACATGTTTATAGAGGGGCCACAATACATCAGATCACTTTCTAGTTGTAGCTACACTGAGAGTAAAAGGTAGATGGGATACAAGGAGAATAGAAGCCATCAGGGAAGAGAGAGGTGAAGGTTTATAAACTAAAAGAGGAGGCAGTTAGGGTAAGATATAAACAGCTATTGGAGGATAGATGGCTAATGAGAGCATAGGCAATGGGGTCGAAGAGGTATGGGGTAGGTTTAAAAATGTAGTGTTAGAGTGTTCAGCAGAAGTTTGTGGTTACAGGAAAGTGGGTGCAGGAGGGAAGAGGAGCGATTGGTGGAATGATGATGTAAAGAGAGTAGTAAGGGAGAAAAAGTTAGCATATGAGAAGTTTTACAAAGTAGAAGTGATGCAAGAGGGAAGAGTATATGGAGAAAAAGAGAGAGGTAAGAGAGTGGTGAAGCAATTTTAAAAAGAGAGCAAATGAGAGAGTGGGTGAGATGTTATCAACAATTTTGTTGAAAATAAGAAAAAGTTTTTGGAGTGAGTTTAAAACAAGTTTAAGAAACCCTAGAGAAAAAATGGTTTTGGTCAGTTAAAAATAGGAGAGGAGAGTTAGTAAATGGAGAGTTAGAGGTATTGGGAAGATGGAGGGAATATTTTGAGGAATTGTTAAATGTTGATGAAGATAGGGAAGCTGTGATTTCGTGTATAGGGCAAGGAGGAATAACATCTTGTGGGAGTGAGGAAGACCCAGTTTGATGTGGGGGAAGTTCGTGAGGCAGTAGGTAAAATGAAAGGGGGGTTAAGGCAGCCGGGATTGAGGGGATAAAGATAGAAATTTTAAAAGCAGGTGGGGATATAGGTTTGGAGTGGGTTGGTGCAATTTTTAATAAATGTATGGAAGAGGGTAAGGTACCTAGGGACTGGCAGAGAGCATGATAGTTCCTTTGTATAAAGGCAAAGGGGATAAAAGAAGTGCAAAAATTTATAGGGGGATAAGTTGTTGAGTAAACCTGGTAAAGTGTAGGGTTTAGAGTTATAATTGAAAGAATTAAGAGTAAGACGGAGAATGGGAAATAGCAGATGAACAAGGAGGCTTTAGGAAAGGTAGGGGTGTGTGGACCGGTGTTTACAGTGAAACAAAATAAGTGAACAGTATTTAGATAAGGCTAAAGAGGTCTTTTTTGGGGATTTATGGATTTGGAAAAGGCGTATGACAGGGTGGATAGGGGGGCAATGTGGCAGATGTTGCAAGTGTAATGGTGTAGGGGGTAGGTTACTGAAAGCAGTGAAGAGTTTTTACGAGGGTAGTGAGGCCAAGTTAGAGTATGTAGGAAAGAGGGGAAATTTTTTCCCAGTAAAAGTAGGCCTTAGACAAGGATGTGTGATGTCACCCTGGTTGTTTAATATATTTATAGATGGGGTTGTAAGAGAAGTAAATGCGAGGGTGTTGGCAAGAGGCGTGGGGTTAAAAGATAAAGAATCACACACAAAGTGGGAGTTGTCACAGCTGCTCTTTGCTGATGACACTGTGCTCTTTGGGGGATTCCCGAAGAGAAGTTGCAGAAAATTTGGTGGATGAATTTGGTAGGGTGTGCAAAAGAAAAAAAATTAAAGGTGAATACAGGAAAGAGTAAGGTTATGAGGATAACAAAAAGATTAGGTGATGAAAGATTGGATATCAGATTGGAGGGGGAGAGTATGGAGGAGGTGAACGTATTCAGATATTTTGGGGAGTGGACGTGTCAGCGGATGGGGCTATGAAAGATGAGGTGAATCATAGAATTGATGAGGGAAAAAGAGTGAGTGGTGCACTTAGGGGTCTGTGGAGACAAAAACTTGTCCTTGGAGGCAAAGACGGGAATGTATGAGAGTATAGTTTTACCAATGCTCTTATATGGGTGTGAAGCGTGGGTGATAAATGTTGCAGCGAGGAGAAGGCTGGAGGCAGTGGAGATGTCATGTCTGAGGCCAATGTGTGGTGTGAATATAATGCAGAGAATTCGTAGTTTGGAAGTTAGGAGGAGGTGCGGGATTACCAAAACTGTTGTCCAGAGGGCTGAGGAAGGTTGTTGAGGTGGTTCGGACATGTAGAGAGAATGGAGCGAAACAGAATGACTTCAAGAGTGTATCAGTCTGTAGTGGAAGGAAGGGGGTAGGGGTCAGCCTAGGAAAGGTTGGAGGGAGGGGGTAAAGGAGGTTTTGTGTGTGAGGGGCTTGGACTTCCAGCAGGCATGCGTGAGCGTGTTTGATAGGAGTGAATGGAGACAAATGGTTTTTAATACTTGACGTGCTGTTGGAGTGTGAGCAAAGTAACATTTATGAAGGGATTCAGGGAAACCGGCAGGCCGGACTTGAGTCCTGGAGATGGGAAGTACAGTGCCTGCACTCTGAAGGAGGGGTGTTAATGTTGCAGTTTAAAAACTGTAGTGTAAAGCACCCTTCTGGCAAGACAGTGATGGAGTGAATGATGGTGAAAGTTTTTCTTTTTGGGGCCACCCTGCCTTGGTGGGAATCGGCCAGTGTGATAATAATAATAATAATATTCCAAAATTTTAATTTTGGAGAACATTACTATATAAAATGTTGGAAAGAATTCTAGATCATCTGAAAAACTCTGAATTTGATACAGTATTTAAACTGAAATAAAGACTTTTTGCTCTTCTTAACAAGAAATCAGAATTTCATTTATCATTTAAAGCCAAAATATTTTTTTTTTAATTTATGAGAATTCTGAATACCAAAGCTGCAAAAAAAATAGATAATGTAAATAGAATATTTCTTCCAAAAATCAATTAGAACATAATACATTTAAATACAGAAACTACTGGGATGCTTTTTCCTAATGTTATCAAAGAAAAAAGACAAACAACTGTTATCTTTACATACTGGTATACAGCATTTGTGAAGAGCAATACAAGACTAAATAAAGGTAAATAACACTGCCAAAAAAAAGTTAATCAAATTATCAAATGTGATATGTACAATGCAAGGAGTCCCCAATATATAAAAGTACATCTCAAATTACACACATCAATATTTAAAGAGTAACAAAACACATACCCAAAGTCACAGACATCCCTCCTCACTAATGGGACACACATGCTCTAACTGAAGTTTTACAAACACAAATCCATAGTACAAATGTGTGAATATGTTGTTTTATACTACTGTTTTCCATACAAACAGCTTATTTCTACACTGAAACACAAGGTACTCAACCTGCTTACAGGTTGGGAACCTCCCTGTTATCAGTTCTCTTGCAAACTCACTAATGACAAAGATGGCTCATAATATCAGAAACTTACAAATATTAAAAAATTATTTTACAAATGAATTACTGTATAGCTTACCTGGTTAACTAAATCTTTAGCCTCAATAACAATTGATGTTATTTTTTTAACCTGTTCATACAAACTATCTGTACTTGATACTTTGCTAAAAGATGCTGGGTAATTCTTCGAGCAATCTGCAACTGGAATAAGGGCAAGGTTTAAATTGTTGATCTGTGCAAAACTGGCAATATTTTTCTAATAAGAAAAATTTATAGAATAATCCCATTCCTTTTTTACTATCTTCCAGTATTAATTATGTTTCCACTAATTTCCTTCTACATCATTAATATTAACAGTATCTGTAATTACATTCTTTTAACTCTGATGCAAAATTTAAACAACCACATTGCTTCCACAGAAAAAACTGAGTCTGTTAATTACTTTAAAACATTACACAAATAACCCGCACATAAAAGAGAGAAGCTTACGACGACGTTTTGGTCTGACTTGGACCGAAACGTCGTCGTAAGCTTCTCTCTTTTATGTGCGGGTTATTTGTGTATCGTTCCAGTCACGGTATTGTGCCTTTTTTTGTTATTTAAAACATTCCTTATTAAGAACAGCAAGTGCATGTACTGTGCTTAAGTCAATACCATTACAATGGTAAAGCTAACAAATCACAGGACTAAATTCAGTTCCTAATTGCATAAGGACTAACCATGGTCCTTTGTGTCAGTGTAATCAGCTAACATATCTTCCAGAGATTTGTTTCCAATGCGCAAATTAGCTTTTCGTCCTCTTCTCCTCAATTGTGCACATTCTTCTAACATTGGTAATTCTTTTAGGAGACATTCTGATGCTTTTTGGCACTTGTTTTCCTCTAAAAAACCTGTAAAGAAAATGATTATAAAAATACAGTATCAATAAACACAAAGGAAGTATCAATTATTACTACAGGTTGAGTATTCCTCATCCAAAATTAAAAAAAAATCCGAAATTCAAATCTTTCATCAAGCACCAACATGACACCACAAATAGAAAGGTTCCGAAGGTTCCGAAGCGTTGCACAGGTTTGTGTGTACCCAGATAGTTGCGACACATGATTTCATTTATTCTGGGTGGGGCTCTGATGATGTACTGGTGCCAATTTGTTATCAATAGTCAACTCAAGGCTGAGAGACTGATTACCTCAAACCCCTGCTCATCTTCCACCATTCATCTCTGTACTACACTGAGGAAGCAACTTGTTGACAAAACATTTCCACAATAAAGATTCTCAAATGATGCAAGTGTCTAATTCTTCAACTTGTGAGTTTTCTAACTCATTTATATGGTCGGTCTGTCAGTCGTCGTCTTCTGTTGAGTTTCAGGGCCACTGACAGCATACGCCATATTGAGCCTGGCCGTCCAGTGCTAGGAGAGGGGACCTCAACCAAAGTGGAAGAATGTTTTGACTAGTAACTCTGTATTATATGTCCCTGATACACCCTGAAGCCAGCAGGAAGTAGCAGGTACAGGCCAATATCTCCTGATGGTCCAGATGGCAAAACCCTTCCCCGTTGAGAAGGAGAGGTAGTGAAAGTGCGCACCCGAAGCATGCGCAAGGCCGCACGGAGAGTAGTCCGTGCAGAGTGGTAACGTGGGCACCACAACAGGAAGTGTTCCACCGTCTCAGGCTGTGAGGGACACCATGGGCAGTACGGAGACTCCGTCATCCAAAGGCGGTACAGATGAGCCGCCAGTCGTGAGTGCCTGACTCGAAGGCGAGTCAGTGCAACATCCACCGAGCGGTTGGAATGGCGAGCCCAAGGGCAGGGGCCATTAAAAGATCGGACAGAGCCCAACGCCGAAGAAGAGAGGGAGTGTGCCAGGCCCTCCTGCCACTGATGGTGGATTCCCTTCCAAACAGCCCTTGTGAAATCACTGTGGCCCAGGGCAAGAGGGGTAATAGTAGGAAGTGTGTGCGCGAGAGAGGGTGCTCCATCCGCCACTTCACTGCCCCAGATTCCAACATGGGCAGGTACCCACTGAAGGGAGATGCTCCAACCTGGGCTCCGCAAGAAGCGCACAAGGAGAGATTGTGTCCGATAAACAAGGACGCGTAGTGACCGTGGATGGGCAGAGCACAAAAGTGCCAGAGAGGATTGGGAATCAGAGAACAGAACCAATGGCTGTGGGGGAATGTGATCTAGGACAAAAGCCAGAGCCTGGTGAATGGCGAAGAGCTCCCCTGCCTGTACAGAATGAGCAGGTCTAACCACCAGGTTTGACACAAGGAGAGATTAGCGAAGAAGGCCGCAGAGGATGTGGAAAGGGGGGAGGTCCGTGCCGAGCCATCCATGTAGATGGAGAATGAAGAGCCATACAACCGGTTGGTCGGTCGAAGTTTATTCAGGTATACTTAAATACAGTTACGTAGATAATCATACATAACAGCATATGTATAGCTAACGTCTATCAATACAGAGCCCTGAAAACTTAGAGATATGCAAACAGTTCAGAAATTACTGGATTTAAATGGTAAATAAGTTTATCTAGGCAGAGGTACACACAAGTGCAATTATCATACAGCGTAAACTATTTAGAATAACCCGAAAGTCTAAGTGACTTAATTCCATTGGGGTCCTTACATTTGGCTTAACATCTGAAGAACACCTATTAGAAATTCTATGATGATGAGCCTGTTTCCTGCCAGTGGTTGTTCTTGTACCTAACAGTATCATTAATTTAACAGGGAAGCGCTAAACCTGTAGAGGTCACATAGCAGTAAGTAGGTAGGTGAATAAGTATTACCTGACAGCTGCGGCTTGTATCCTGGAAGAAAAAATGATCTGGCAAGTTGTTATCAAAGGACCACAAAGGCAAGTAATGTACAGTGGCTTTACTGGGTTATCCTGGGTTAACAAGGACCCAAATGGAAATAAGTCACTGTAAAGTTTTTAAGGTTATCCTGGTGGTAATTTATACATATGTTACTATGTATAATAATTTTGTAACTATATGTTTGTACCTAAATAAACTTAATCTGAAAAAATACCTTCGACACAGACTGAACTTTTGCTTCAACTGTGTAAATCAACACCAACATTATACCCAAGAAATAAAGTCACCCACCTAACACAAGCCTGGCTACTTCAGATGGCAGAAGAGACGCCATTACTACTGTTCAGGCCATTAATTAACAAAATAAAGACCATTAATACTGTGAGGAGAGACTAGAGACGTGTTTGTTTACTATCAGAGCCGAGCCTCCCGCCTCTCTCTCTCTCTCTCACTCACTAACTCTTTTAAAACAATCAAAATATATTATTTATTGTATATATAACAATCCGATTACCCTCATTATATAGATGATGAGGGTCAGTTTATCTAATGTGTTGTAATGATGCTGTTTTTAACTTTTAAAGTTTAAAAAATAAGATATTACCACAATGGGAATAAGTCATTTTGTCTGACTTTTTTGGGGTTATCATAGATAATTTACACTATATATGATAATTGTATTTATATGTACCTGTACCTAAATAAACTTACTTACTAATGAAAGAAAGTAATTACCAATATTTTTTTGCATTTATTTAAATCAAAATGAGCGGGAAGTTCAATTAGTGTCACACCGCAGTAATAATGATTGTATAATATATATTACGATTTTGATCACCTACAATGAAGGTCAGAAAGCATAAATGTTTTCTGACGTTCATTGTAGATGTTCAAATCCTGATAAATGTTATATAATTATTATTATTGTTGTAGTGTGACATTGATGGAACTCCCGCTCATTTTGATTTAAAATAATGTTAAGTATTAATAATAATTTTCATTAATTTGCATTATTATCATCTATATGATACTGTACAAAGTTAAAGGTAAAATTGAGATGATAGACAATTTTTTAAAGATTAAAGATTATTTCATCATGATACAATGTACAAGTGTGAAAGACATTTAGGTGAGCATGCAAGAACATCCTCATTTCGAGCAAACTTAACTATCTTAAGATTAATAAGGCAACTGATGTGCCCTTTAAGGTTTCCCGAAATGCTTTGGATAACCATAGGCTTTCTGTCTGACTTTTTTGGGTTATCCAAGGTAATTTACACATGTTACTATGTATGACAATTTGTGTAACTATATTTATATGTACCTGTACCTACACACAGGAACACTTGAGAAGATTGATGGACTGTAAGATACAGCACCTCACAAGAGGGAGAAAACCTAGAGGAACAAGCAGGAATAGTACTACAATATATTAAAGACTACCTAACAGGAAAATAACAGTTATTGTCTGTGAGCTGTTGAGATGGGAGAGTGATGAGTGGGACCCCACAAGGGCTCATACTGGGTGCTAAGTAAGACACATGGGCAACAGTTAGTCATCTTTATTCTGAAACGTTTCGCCTACACAGTAGGCTTCTTCAGTCGAGTACAGACAGTGAAGAAGAACTGATTATATCGTCTTCACATCTCTACTGCTTCTGCCTACTGTCTGTCGACTGAAGAAGCCTACTGTGTAGGCGAAACGTTTCAGAATAAAGATGACTAAATGTTGCCCATGTGTCTTACTTACCAACCTGTCGGTATTGTATACCATTTTGATATTCGGCTCATACTGGGACTGAGATTTTTGTATGTAAACGACATGACAGAAGAAATCAAGTCAGAGGTGTTCCAGTTCGCTGTTGACGTAGTACTGGTGAGAATACAACCAGAAGCACACCAAGAAAGACTATAAATGGATCTGGACAAGCCTGCAGGACTGGTCTGACAAGTGGCTATCAAAATTTAACCCCAGCAAATGCAAAGTTATGAAAATTGTGGAAGGGCAAAGACGACCAGAAATGGTACAGGATCAGGAGACGAAGCCTGAGAATCTCTGAAAGAGAAAGACCTCAGGGACCCCCCAAGACCTCATAGTTGTCAGCACATTGCTTGAGGCACAACTCAACCGAATAATTACCTCAGCAATGCGGAATAGCATTTTTTTAAGAGTGGCTTTCAGGAATCTAAACAAGGAAATATTCACAATCATATGCAAGGCATCGGGTTGTGAATATAATCAGTCCACCATCTTGACATCTCTACAGCTAATGCTGCCTCTGTTTTCGACTGAAGAAGTCTACTGTGTAGGCGAAACGTTTAGGGATAAGGATACCCAACTGTTGCACATGTGTCTTACTTAACAATACTTATCAAGCTACCTTCCTCAGATAGCTTAACCGCTGAAATAGTTTGTCATTAGACACACTGCAGTGTGAGGACTTGTTAGCCCAAGTTTTGAGGAAGGAATTTTAAGTATTGTTTAAATAAACCGTTCCAACCAATTTATTTGTATTTTACCTTGGAATAGGTTAGGTAATGTTTGTCAGGAAACAGGACAAGTGTTTCCTGACGCGGGTCTTAGGTATATGATGGCCCCCAGCTGGAGCTTTTGGTCATCTGACCGAGTCCTTCCACTGGTTTACAGCTTTAATACTGACCGTAGTGTAGTCGATAAGCTTCAACCCTATTAACCAACCAACTTAATACCTGGGTTACTGGAGTTTACCTGGAGAGAGTTCCGGGGGTCAACGCCCCCGCGGCCCGGTCTGTGACCAGGCCTCATGGTGGATCAGAGCCTGATCAACCAGGCTGTTACTGGTGGCTGCACGCAATCCAACATACGAGCCACAGCCCGGCTGGTCAGGTATCGACTTTAGGTGCTTGTCCAATGCCTGCTTGAAGACAGCCAGGGGTCTATTGGTAATCCCCCTTATGTATGCTGGGAGGCAGTTGAACGGGCCGGGCCCCTCACATTATTGTATTTCTCTTAACGTGCTAGTGGCCCTGCTTTTCATGGGATTTTAATCGTTTTTCCAATTTTTTTTGGGCCTTTGGATATTTGGTTGGCTTGGTTACCTCAAATTTTTTTGGTTATAAATCATTATTTTCCCCCGCCTTTTTAGGGGTAAATTCAGGAAACTTAAGGCTCCCATTTAGGGTGTTTTTCTTGTTAGTACACGGAGGTTCTCTTAATTTTTAGGAAAAAATTTGGGTTTTGAAAGGTTTTAGTTGCGCTTTCCAGGGTTTTTGCAAGCGACCTGAAAGGACATCATGGGCTTCATTAAAGTTTTAGGTTTTTCTTTTTCCCACCTGTCTTTTTCTGCATTTCCTGGAAAAGCCCTAAATCGGTTCCGGGGGGCCCTGTGGCTTAGTTGGTTTCGGGGCCCCCAGATAACCCTTTATCAGGCTTGATCCCCCGGGGCCTGGTAAGAGGGGGGGGGGTTGCCCCGAAAACTTCTCAAAAATCGGGGGGTCCCCAATGATACCCCCATTTTGTGTTGTTTTTTGTTTTTTTGGGGAAGGAATTTTTTTGTATCTGATGAAGTTTTAATTTCTCTGTTTACCATATGGGTTTTAATTAAAAATTTTCAGTTAATTTCTATTGTTTTCTCAACCCTTGAAAATATTTTTTTGATTCCCTGGGCCCTTAGTTTGAATTCCCCGGAGTTTGCAGTGTTTCAGGGCCGGAGTTTTCAGGGGGAAAAACTTATTTTTTCCAAAAATTTCGTATTTATATGTATATGATGGCCATATGTATTTAATAACTTTTTGTATAAAAAAAGGGGAAAACTGACGGGGAAAAGGAAAGTCGCCTTTTTTTGTTTAAATTTTGGGATTAAAAACGTTGGTGTAAGGGAAAAATTTTTGGCTTAGAGGAAAAAATTTTGGGCTGACACCTCTCAAATGGAGAAGATTGTTGGATGGATTCCTGCTTTTTTGGAATCGGGCGACAGGCAGGAAATCCGGGAAACCCTCAAAAAGTGTCAAAATTTATTTTTAAATTTTTTGGCCCCAGTAAATTTTCTAAAATGTGGGAAAAAAGGGGGGGTCCTTACTGCCATTAATCTCCAGTCAAATTGGCGGTGCAAAGATTAAGATATATTCTCTTTTGTTATATAAATTGTTTTTATATATAATCATTTTTAATTTAATATACGCCCAAAAAAATTTTTATTTCCCCAGATTCCTGGATTATATTTCATTTATGTTAATAGGTCCGAGCAATTGTGGATATGACAGTGGTGGGTTTCAAAGGGGGGACATTTTTTGCCCCCTTGGTGTCCAAATTCTATTTGTCTAATGTTAAATAATATTATTTTGTTATTTATTTTATGTAATATGATCATTGAAAAATGCTTTTTCCCATTTAATTTGCCGTTGGTCCTTCTTAACCGGAGGTAAATATAAATTCATTTTTTTAGTTAATTACTTAAAAATTTATATGAAATGACAGAAGGGGGTGGTGTTAAGTTTCACAAATTTATTTAATGGTATGGATTTAATTATTAAATTATTAATTTGGTAAGTAAAGTGTGGCTAAAGATTTTTTTAAAGTGTATAAATGTATGTGTAATTGATAAGCAAGTGTAAAATTATATTAATGTGTATTTAAATTTTTTGCCCAAATGGTTGGATTTTTATTAATGTATTTGTTAATGTTTTTTTTGAAAAGAAATTTTTGGCCAAGATTTATTCAGTGTAAGTGTAATTGATAAGCAAGTTTTACTAATATTAATGTTATAATTTAAATTTGTATGCCAAATTCTGGAAAGGTTTTATTATTTGTAAAATTTTAAAAATTTTGATGCCAGGGGTGGCTAAAGGGTTTTTATTAATGACATTTAAAATTTTTTATTTAATTTTTTTGATGTAATTGTAAGCTCAATGCTGTTTATTCAAAGGAAGTTTTCAGTGTTGTAAGTTTTTATCGTTTGTAAGTTGTATCAGTGTTTTAAGTTGTATCGTTTGAAGTTTTATCAGTGTTGTAAGTTGTTCGTGTTGTAAATTGTATCGTATTTTGTTAAATTGTATCGGTTGTAAGTTGTATCATGTTTTAAGTTTTAATCAGGTTTTTAATTAAGTGAATTTTGTAATTGCATCATGGGTGAAAAAGAGGAATTTTAAAATAGAAGACAAAATATGAATACAGAGCAAAAAAAAAAACACTGCAGCTAGAAAAAGGGATGTAACAAAAGCATACAATAAAAAGTTGGGAATTAAAGAATCAAAAAACTGTGAAATGTGATTTAAAATTGTATTTAGAGTTTAGGTAATAGATTGATTATACAAATTATATACAAAAATATGAAGGAGATTTGTTAGTAAAAATGTGTAGTGAGATGAAAATAGATCTCATGATTAATATTTTATGAATTAGAAGAAAGATTCTTTCTTGTAAAAGTCAGGCCTTGAAAAAAATTAAAAAAGTAAAAAGG